CACCCCCTGTGAGTGAGTGAGTATCAAGGTGGAGTTGACCCTGCTAGCTAGGGGACTGCGATGCCTCAGATATCAGCGGAAGTTTGCCCAGCGGCCTGCGAAACCTCAAATACCAGAGGGGAACTCGTCACGCCCACTGTGAGTGACTTTATTTTGCTGAATTGGCGATCTGCTGCTGAGGGAAGTGAAACGAAATGACGAAGCGGATCCCGTCGACCGAGGCCCGGCCAACTGCCACGCCGAGCTCACAACAACGAGCGGGCCGGCTAAAGCGCAGCAAAAGTTGACGTGGTGGTGGTGGTGGGTGGTGGCGGTGGGGGGTGGGGGCACAGGTATTGTGGTCCATCGGCCATTCGTCTCAGTCAGTCGACACGTAGGGCACCTGCTGGGTCTAGCACGTGACCTCCTGCCGGCGGGCGTTCGACGCTGCGCGTGGCCTCAACGTGCACCTAGCCTGGCACACGCGGCCGTGGCTACGCTACTGACACAGCACTTGCCCCTACAGCCGCTGTTAGAGGCTACACGGGGGAGCTTTGTGTGTGTGTGTGTGTTTGTGTGTGTAGGTGCTGCTACTCACTACTGACAGCACTTGCCCCTACAGCCGTGTTAGAGGCTACCTGGGGGAGCTTTGTCTGTGTGTAGGTGCTGCTACTCGCTACTAACAGCACTTGCCCCTACAGCCACTGTTAGAGGCTACCTGGGGGAGCTTTGTCTGTGTCTGTGTGTAGGTGCTGCTACTCGCTACTAGCAGCACTTGCCCCTACAGCCCTGTTAGAGGCTACACGGGGGAGCTTTGTATGTATGTAGTAGGTGCTGCTACTTGCTACTAACAGCACTTGCCCCTAAAGTCTGTCTGAGGCTACCTGGGGAACCTTTGTCTGTGTGTGTGTGTAGGTGCTGCTACTCGCTACTAACAGCACTTGCCCCTACAGCCGTGTTAGAGGCTACACGGGGGAGCTTTGTCTGTGTGTAGGTGCTGCTACCCGCTACTGACAGCACTTGCCCCTACAGCCCTGTTAGAGGCTACCTGGGGAACCTTTGACTGTGTGTGTAGGTGCTGCTACTCGCTACTGACAGCACTTGCCTCTACAGCCCTGTTAGAGGCTACACGGGGGACCTTTGTCTGTGTGTTCATTGACCAAGAACTGGAAAATCTTTCGATTCCGGAACTTTAGTGGTTAACACGGAACTCTGTGGGAGCGAACGTCAACAACAACAACCAACGTCACCACGGCGCTTGTGCCAGGCTATGTGCACATTAAGGCCACGTGAAGTGTCGAACGCCCGCGGGCAGGAGGTCACGGGGCAGACCCAGGTGCCATGGGTCGACTGACTGAGATGACTGAGATGACTGGCTGATGCACCACCTGTGCCCCCTACTGTGCCAATCTGCTGCGCTTTAGCCACCCGGCGCTCCGCTCGTTGTTGTGAGCGTCGCTCCTCCGCCCTCCGTTGTTGTTGGAGGGCGACTGCCTCCACCTGCCCAGTAGCATCCTTCACGAGCCTCCTCCACAGAGGCCGATCTTGACACCGCTGGTACCGGCCATCGGCAAGTCCACTCAGCTCCACGTCCTCCTGTACCACATCACTCCATCTCTTCTCTAGCCCGTGCCGCGCCCGCTTAGCCCCCTCAATCCGGCCGAACAAAAGCTGTTTCGGCATGCGGTGGCTGGGCATGCGGGCTACATGACCCAGCCATCGCAGCCTTGCCTGCCGGAGGAGCTCACCGATGAGACCTTGCCCAGATCTTTCATGGATTTGTGAGTTCCTCACACAATCCAGCCTGGTTAAACCCAGGTTGGATCATAGGCAGGACAGCCTAAATGTTTCTCACCGGCGAAGATGTTCCATTAAGGGAGTCCACGTTTCGCAAGCGTAGAGAAGGGAGGGAATGACCGTGGCCCAGAAGACCTGAAGCTTAGTGCGGAGCGACAGACCAGGTAGCTTCCACACAGCGTTACGCAACCGATGAAAAGATATTGCCGCCTGACTGATTCGGAGTGAGACCTCTGCTGTTAAACTGGAGCCGGTCATAAGCACACTGCCCAGGTATGGGAAACTCTCCACTCTCTCCACAACTGCCCCATCACCGATTGGGAGTTGTGGGGGTGGAGTGTCCGATGGTACAAAATACCCAGGCAGGTGCTTAGTTTTGGTGGGGCTGATGGTAAGGCCCCACCTCTTAGTGGCACACTCCAGTCTCAGCAGCAGCGTCTCCAACTCCTCCTCTGAATCAGCAGCTATTACCAAATCATCAGCATACATAACGTGGTTGAGCAATAGGGAGCCATCCCTTGACCGCACCTGGGCATCGATCAGCCTTCCATTATATCTGTAGCAAATGGAGATTCCCCCGGTACAGCTATTGAAGGCTTCACGAACTACGTGGTCAAAATAGATGTTAAATAATGTGGGAGCCAGAGGACATCCCTGTCGCACCCCAAGGTGTACAGGGAATGGCTCTGACTCCTGGCCACGTAGTTTTACCCGGGCCCGCTCACCATCATGAAGGTCCTTAATGATCGCGAGCAGGGGGTCAGGGACTCCAAAAGCACAAAGAACAACTCAGAGCCCAGGCCTACTGAGGGTATCATAAGCCTTGACCAGGTCAATAAAGCAGAGATGTAGGTCTTGTTGGAATTCCCTACACCTCTGCTGCAGCAGACAGACAGAAAATATGGTATCTGTGCAGGACCGCCCTTTCCTGAAACCGCATTGGGGCTCCGCAAGCCTCTCCTCAGCGTGCCTGGCAAGGCGATGTTGAATAATCCTTGCCAGAACCTTTCCCGGCACACTGAGGAGTGAGATGCCCTGTAGTTGTTACAGTCTGTGCGGTCCCCCTTCTTAAAGAGGGGGACCACCAGGGCATCCTTCCAATCCTGCGGAACCCGTCCAGTGGTCCAGACTGTTGCTATGATGTCATATAGGGCAGTCTGTGCACAAACGCCACCCTCCCTCAGCATTTCGCTTGGGAGATCATTTCTGCCCGCTGCCTTTCCTGGTCTCAGACTCCGGATCGCTTTCAGTACTTCCTCAACAGATGGCACCTCAGCCAGCCACTCACAGGGGGTAACTTCTTCCAATATTTGAGGCACCGCAGCCTCAGCAGGGTCATCCCCACTTTGTGCCACGATGTTTTCCTGGCTGAGGGGTTTCCCCTCTCCCAGGACCTCACAGAAATGCTCAGCAAATCAGCAAACCTGTTCCTGGGGGTCGGAGATTGGAACACCATTTTTTCCCCTGATGATGGTAATAAGTGTGGCACTGCAGGTTACTTATTTAATGGAGTTAAATTGAGATTTGTGATCGCGGGCCAGAGACAGACTCCATCTCCTCAGCAACCCGCGACTACCACACATCCTTGCAGCTCCGAACCTCCGAGCGAAGGTTGCGGTAAGCCTCCTCCTTCTCTGACGTGGGATTCTGTAGCAGATGACAGTGGGCCTGTCGCTTTTTCTCAGCCATCCTGAACACCTCCTCTGTCAGCCAGGGTCTCTGGGGAGGTCTGGACCGTGTACCCAAAGCAGCCACTGCAGCTGCATGAGTCACAGTCCTAAACCTCGCCCATTTACCCTGGACATCAGGAGGAGTGGGGGACGATGCCAACCCCAGCCGCAAGCGATGATGAAATTCTCGCTTGAAACTTTCATCAGCTGAGACCAGGCCACTTTAGGTTGGACTGTGGACCTGGGTGTACACCCACCACCGGAGTGGAAGAATGGCAGGCGCATCTTACAGATGACTAGTCGATGGTCAGAGGGTAGATCAGCTCCACGGTAGGTCCTGGTGTCAAGGACATGGGCTCGCATCCGCTGGTCCGTCACTATGTAGTCCAGCAGATGTTCTTGCTTGGACCCGGCATGCATCCATGATGTTGTGTGGATACGCCAAAGCCGGAACAGCGTGTTGGTAATTACAAGCCCATGGGCTGCACAAAAATCTAGCAGCCTCCTACCGTTGTTATTGAGCTGATCTGGCCCATGCCCTCCATTCACTGCAGACCAGGTGCCAGCATCATGACCAACTCGGGCATTGAAGTCACCCAACATGATGACTATCCCGAGGGGCCACTTTAGCCAGCACCTGTGACAGGAGGTCATAGAAGGCATCTGACTCATCGGCGTGCCTGCATCCCTCCACAGATGTTCGTCTTCGGTGGGGGCATAAGTATCCACGACCACCACTCCTCGCCTCCGGTTGATGGGAAGGCGAGCCCAAAGTAGCCTGGGGCTTACAGCTTCGTGCGGAACATCACCACCACCATTACCACCATCACCACCACCATCACCACCACTACCACCACCATCACCACCACTACCACCACCATCATCACCATCACTACCACCACCAGCAGCAGCACCATCACCAGCATCACCACCACCATCACCACCATCACTACCATTACCACCACTACCACCACTACCATTACCACCACTACCACCACCAGCAGCACCATCACCACTATCACCACCACTACCACCACCACCATCACCACTATCACCACCACTACCACCACTACCACCACCATCACCACTACCACCACCTCCACCACTACCACCACCATCACCACTACCACCACCACCATCACCACCACCATCACCACTACCACCACCATCACCACTACCACCACCACCATCACCACCACTACCACCACCATCACCACTACCACCACCATCACCACCACTACCACCGTCATCACCACTACCACCACCTCCACCACTACCACCACCACTACCACCACCATCACCACTACCACCACCACTACCACCATCACCACCACTACCACCACCACCATCACCACCACTACCACAACCACCACCACTACCACCACCATCACCACCACCACCTCCACCACTACCACCACCACTACCACCACCATCACCACTACCACCACCATCACCACTACCACCACCTCCACCACTACCACCACCATCACCACCACCACTACCACCATCTATTATAATTAAAGACCACGCAGACTCAACGGTAATCTCCACTCGTTACACGCGCCACCATTTTTTTATTACATTTTTAACATCACCACCATCATCACCATCAGCCCATCACCCTCCCCGCCTTCTTAGTGACGTAGCCCTCAAGGGGGGGGTGAAACAGATGAATGACGTCACCCCCTCACCTTAGTGATGAAGCCCCCAAGGGGGGTTGAAACAGACAAATGACGTCACCCTCCTCGCCTTCTTAATGACGTAGCCTTCGAGGGGGGGGTGTAACAGATTAATGACGTCACCCTCCCCGCCTACTTAGTGACGTAGCCCTCAAGGGGGGGTGAAACAGATGAATGACGTCACCTTCCCACCTCTTAGTGACGTAGCCCTCAAGGGGGGGGTGAAACAGACGAATGACGTCACCCTCCCCGCCTTCTTAGTGACGTGACCCCATGGGGAGGGGGAAACAGACGAATGACATCACCCCCCACCTTCTTAGAGTGAAACAGATTAATGACGTCACTCTCCCCGCCTACTTAGTGATGTATCCCCCAAGGGGGGGTGAAACAGACAAATGACGTCACCCTCCCCGCCTTCTTAGTGACGTAGCCCTCGAGGGGGGTGTAACAGATGAATGCCGTCACCCTCCCCGCCCTCTTAGTGACGTAACCCCCATGGGGAGGGGGAAACAGACGAATGACGTCACCCCCCCAACTTCTTAGAGTGAAACAGATTAATGTCGTCACCCTCCCTGCCCTCTTAGTGATGTAGCCAAGGGGGGGGGTGAAACAGATGAATGACGTCACCCCCCACCTTCTTAGTGACGTAGCCCCAAGGGGGGGTGAAACTGATGAATGACGTCAACCATCCCACCTGCTTAGTGACGTAGCCCCCATTGGGAGGGGAGTGAAACAGATGAATGACGTCACCATCCCACCTATTTAGTGATGTAGCTCCCAAGGAGGGGGGAGGGGTGAAACATATGAATGACGTCACGCCCCCCGCCCGACTTCCCCCGTCATGAATATTAATCACCGCATAAATTAAACAACTCCCGTGAACATGAATACCTCAGCGTCGAATTAACATAACACTTGCATAACATTAGCATACAATTAGCATAACATTACCGAAACAACATTAGCATATCGTTATCGTAGAATTAACGTGGTGTTATGCTAATTAACCCCCTCCCCGCTAAAGCCTTCACTCGTAGCCCTAAGTAATCATTTATAATTTATAACTACGATCAAGGCCTAGGCAAGGCCAATTAATTTTTTTTTCCACTGGCACACACACACACACACGTGTAGCCGAGCCGAGCCAGCACGGGGCCAGTAGCGGCACGGGTTGAAGTTTTTTCTTTTTTTCCCACTGGCCCAAACATATCCGAGCCCAAGCCTAGCCAGCACGGAGCCAGGGTGGCACGGGTTGAGTTAAGTTTTATTTCACTGGAACACACAAACATCCGAATCGAACCAGAACGGAGCCAAGGTGGCACGGGTTGAAGTTGTTTTTTTTTTCCACTGGCCCAAACATATCCGAGCCCAAGCCTAGCCAGCACGGAGCCAGTAGTGGCACGGGTTGAGTTAAGTTTTATTTCACCGGAACACACAAACATCTGAATCGAGACAGAACGGAGCCAGGGTGGCACGGGTTGAGTTAAGTTTTATTTCACCGGAACACACAAACATCCGAATCGAGACAGAACGGAGCTAGGGTGGCACGGGTTGGGTTAGTTATTTTTTTTCACTGGAACACACAAACATCCAGATCGAGACAGAACGGAGCTAGGGTGGCACGGGTTGGGTTAGTTAATTTTTTTTCACCGGAACACACAAACATCCAGATCGAGACAGAACGGAGCCAGGGTGGCACGGGTTGAGTTAGTGTTTTTTTTCACTGGAACACACAAACATCCGAATCGAACCAGAACGGAGCCAGGGTGGCACGGGTTGAGTTAGTGTTTTTCACTGGAACACACAAACATCCGAGTCGAACCAGAACGGAGCCAGGGTGGCACGGGTTAAGTTAGTGTTTTTTATGGAACACACAAACATCTGAATCGAGACAGAACGGAGCCAGGGTGGCACGGGTTTAGTTTTTTTTCACCGGAACACACAAACATCCGAATCGAGCCAGAAGGGAGCCAGGGTGGCACGGGTTGAGTTATTTTTTTTTTCACTGGAACACACAAACATCCAGATCGAGCCAGAACGGAGCCAGTAGTGGCATGGGTTGAGTTAGTGTTTTTTTTTTCCACTGGAACACAAACATCCGAATCGAGCCAGAACGGAGCCAGTAGTGGCATGGGTTGAGTTAGTGTTTTTTTTTTCACTGGAACACAAACATCCGAATCGAGCCAGAACGGAGCCAGGGTGGCACGGGTTGAGTCAGTGTTTTTAATGGAACACACAAACATCCGAATCGAGCCAGAACGGAGCTAGGGTGGCACGGGTTGGGTAAGTTATTTTTTTCACTGGAACACACAAACATCTGAATCGAGACAGAACGGAGCCAGGGTGGCACGGGTTGAGTTAAGTTTTATTTCACCGGAACACACAAACATCCGAGTCGAACCAGAACGGAGCCAGGGTGGCACGGGTTGGGTTAGTTAATTTTTTTCACCGGAACACACAAACATCCAGATCGAGACAGAACGGAGCCAGGGTGGCACGGGTTGGGTTAGTGTTTTTTTTCACTGGAACACACAAACATCTGAATCGAACCAGAACGGAGCCAGGGTGGCACGGGTTGAGTTAGTGTTTTTCACTGGAACACACAAACATCCGAGTCGAACCAGAACGGAGCCAGGGTGGCACGGGTTGAGTTAGTGTTTTTTTAATGGAACACACAAACATCTGAATCGAGACAGAACGGAGCCAGGGTGGCACGGGTTTAGTTTTTTTTCACCGGAACACACAAACATCCGAATCGAGCCAGAAGGGAGCCAGGGTGGCACGGGTTGAGTTACGTTTTTTTTCACTGGAACACACAAACATCCAGATCGAGCCAGAACGGAGCCAGTAGTGGCATGGGTTGAGTTAGTGTTTTTTTTTCACTGGAACACAAACATCCGAATCGAGCCAGAACGGAGCCAGGGTGGCACGGGTTGAGTCAGTGTTTTTAATGGAACACACAAACATCCGAATCGAGCCAGAACGGAGCTAGGGTGGCACGGGTTGGGTAAGTTATTTTTTTCACTGGAACACACAAACATCTGAATCGAGACAGAACGGAGCCAGGGTGGCACGGGTTGAGTTAAGTTTTATTTCACCGGAACACACAAACATCCGAATCGAGACAGAACGGAGCCAGGGTGGCACGGGTTGGGTTAGTTAATTTTTTTTTCACCGGAACACACAAACATCCAGATCGAGACAGAACGGAGCCAGGGTGGCACGGGTTGGGTTAGTTAATTTTTTTTTCACCGGAACACACAAACATCCAGATCGAGACAGAACGGAGCCAGGGTGGCACGGGTTGAGTTAGTGTTTTTTTCACTGGAACACACAAACATCCGAATCGAACCAGAACGGAGCCAGGGTGGCACGGGTTGAGTTAGTGTTTTTCACTGGAACACACAAACATCCGAGTCGAACCAGAACGGAGCCAGGGTGGCACGGGTTGAGTTAGTGTTTTTTAATGGAACACACAAACATCTGAATCGAGACAGAACGGAGCCAGGGTGGCACGGGTTTAGTTTTTTTTCACCGGAACACACAAACATCCGAATCGAGCCAGAAGGGAGCCAGGGTGGCACGGGTTGAGTTACGTTTTTTTTCACTGGAACACACAAACATCCAGATCGAGCCAGAACGGAGCCAGTAGTGGCATGGGTTGAGTTAGTGTTTTTTTTTCACTGGAACACAAACATCCGAATCGAGCCAGAACGGAGCCAGTAGTGGCATGGGTTGAGTTAGTGTTTTTTTTTTCACTGGAACACAAACATCCGAATCGAGCCAGAACGGAGCCAGGGTGGCACGGGTTGAGTCAGTGTTTTTAATGGAACACACAAACATCCGAATCGAGCCAGAACGGAGCTAGGGTGGCACGGGTTGGGTAAGTTATTTTTTTCACTGGAACACACAAACATCTGAATCGAGCCAGAACGGAGCCACGGGTTGAGTTAGTGTTTTCTCTCTCACCGGAACACACGAACATCCGAATTGAGCAAGTTCGAGGCTAGAGTGGCACGGGTTGCATTCGGGGGGGGGGGGGGGGGGGGAGGGGGGGCGGGAGGCAGAGTTTCCCGAGCCGAGCACTGGAACCAAAATTGGCGTCGCTCCACCACCACGTGCTCATTCACCACCACCACCACCACCACCGGCACGGCACGGCACGGTTCTGTCCCAGTGGAAAAAAAAACCCAACCGTGACAACTCTCTGACCCGTGCCAGGCTGGCATGGGTCAGAGGTTGCGGCCAGTGGAAAAAGCAGAAGTAACAACAATGACAACAACAAGTGGCACCGTTCCGGTATAGTGTCGTGTGTAGTGTATAGTGTAGTGTATAGTAGTGAAAAGTGTAGTGTATAGTAGTGTAAAGTGTAGTGTATAGTGTAGTGTATAGTGTAGTGTATAGTGTAGTGTTTAGTGTAATGTATAGTGTAGTATAGTGTATAGTGTAGTGTATAGTGTAGTGTATAGTAGTGTATAGTGTAGTGTATAGTGTAGTAGTGTAGTGTATAGTGTAATGTATAGTGTAGTATAGTGTATAGTGTAGTGTATAGTGTAGTGTATAGTAGTGTATAGTGTAGTGTATAGTGTAGTGTATAGTGTAGAAGTGTAGTGTATAGTGTAGTGTATAGTAGTGTAGTGTATAGTGCAGTGTATAGTGTAGTGTATAGTGTAGTATGTAGTATATTGTGTAGTGTATAGTGTAGTGTGTAGTGTAGTGTATAGTGTAGTATGTAGTGTATAGTGTAGTGTATAGTGTAGTGTGTAGTGTAGTGTATAGTGTAGTGTATAGTGTAGTGTATAGTGTAGTAAAGTGTATAGTGTAGTATGTAGTGTATAGTGTAGTGTGTAATGTCGTGTATAGTATAGTGTAGTGTGTAGTGTAGTGTATAGTGTAGTGTACAGTGTAGTGTACAGTGTAGTGTATAGTGTAGTGTACAGTGTAGTATATAGTGTAGTGTACAGTGTAGTGTACAGTGTAGTGTATTTAAGAGGAGCTTCTTTCGCTCCGTCCACAGGCAACCGGAGCTTTAAGCCGCTACAAAACTTCCGGACGCAAACCACCGAGGGAGGGAAGAGATACCCGTGCCTCACACCCGTGCCTACTACCCGTGCCTCAAACCCGTGCCTACTACCCGTGCCTCAAACCCGTGCCTACTACCCGTGCCTACTACCCGTGCCTCAAACCCGTGCCTACTACCCGTGCCTCAAACCCGTGCCCCCTACCCGTGCCTCACACCCGTGCCTACTACCCGTGCCTACTACCCGTGCCTACTACCCGTGCCTCAAACCCGTGCCTACTACCCGTGCCTCAAACCCGTGCCTACTACCCGTGCCTCAAACCCGTGCCTACTACCCGTGCCTACTACCCGTGCCTACTACCCGTGCCCCCTACCCGTGCCTACTACCCGTGCCCCCTGCCCGTGCCTCACACCCGTGCCCCCTGCCCGTGCCTCACACCCGTGCCCCCTACCCGTGCCTCAAACCCGTGCCTACTACCCGTGCCCCCTACCCGTGCCTCACACCCGTGCCCCCTACCCGTGCCTACTACCCGTGCCCCCTACCCGTGCCTCAAACCCGTGCCTACTACCCGTGCCACAAACCCGTGCCTACTACCCGTGCCTCAAACTCGTGCCTACTACCCGTGCCCCCTACCCGTGCCTCAAACCCGTGCCTACTACCCGTGCCTCAAACCCGTGCCTACTACCCGTGCCTCAAACCCGTGCCTACTACCCGTGCCCCACACCCGTGCCCCACACCCGTGCCTCAAACCCGTGCCTACTACCCGTGCCCCCCACCCGTGCCCCACACCCGTGCCCCACACCCGTGCCCCACACCCGTGCCTACTACCCGTGCCCCACACCCGTGCCCCACACCCGTGCCTACTACCCGTGCCCCCCACCCGTGCCCCACACCCGTGCCCCACACCCGTGCCCCACACCCGTGCCTACTACCCGTGCCCCCTACCCGTGCCTACTACCCGTGCCCCCTACCCGTGCCTCAAACCCGTGCCTACTACCCGTGCCTCAAACCCGTGCCTACTACCCGTGCCCCACACCCGTGCCTACTACCCGTGCCCCCTACCCGTGCCTACTACCCGTGCCCCCTACCCGTGCCTCAAACCCGTGCCTACTACCCGTGCCTCAAACCCGTGCCTACTACCCGTGCCCCACACCCGTGCCTACTACACGTGCCCCACACCCGTGCCCCCTACCCGTGCCCCACACCCGTGCCCCCCACCCGTGCCCCCCACCCGTGCCCCCTACCCGTGCCCTCTACCCTTGCCTACTACCTGTGCCCCCTACCCCGTGCCCCCTACCCGCGCATACTACCCGTGCCCCCTACCCGTATCTACTACCTGTGCCCCCTACCCGTGTCTACTACCCGTGCCCCCTACCCGTGCCTACTACCCGTGCCCCCTACCCGTGCCTACTACCCGTGCCCCCTACCCGTGCCTCACACCCGTGCCCCACACCTCCAGCAGCCCCCTACGAAAAGTCACTTAGTGTGATGCCTATCACCTCCTCCTACTCCTACTCCACCACCACCCCCACCACCACCACCACCACCTCCACCACCACCACCACCACCCCCACCCCCCACCTCCACCACCACCACCACCCCCACCACCACCACCCCCACCCCCACCCCCCACCTCCACCACCACCACCTCCACCACCACCACCCCCACCCACCACCTCCACCACCACCACCACCACCACCACCCCCACCACCACCCCCACCCCCCCACCTCCACCACCACCACCACCCCCACCACCTCCACCCCCACCACCACCACCCCCACCACCATCACCACCACCACCCCCACCACCACCCCCACCACCACCAACACCACCACCACCACCACCACCCCCACCACCACCAACAACAACAACAACCGCCATTCGCCACTAAGTGGCGGTGACGTCACCACGACGCTTGTGCCAGGCTATGTGCACCCTGAGGCCACGTGAAGTGTCGAACGCCCGCTGGCAGGAGGTCACGGGGCAGACCCAGCAGGTGCCACGGGTCGACTGACTGAGATGACTGGCTGAGATGACTGGCTGATGCACCACCTGTGCCCCCTACTGTGCCAACCTGCTGTGCTTTAGCCACCCGGCGCTCTGCTCGTTGTTCTGAGCGTCGCTCCTCCGCCCTCCGTTGTTGTTGGAGGGCGACTGCCTCAAACTGCCCAGTAGCAGCGTCCTTCACGAGCCTCCTCCACAGAGGCCGATCTTGACACCGCTGGTACCAGTCATCGGCAAGTCCACTCAGCTCCACGTCCTCCTGTACCACATCACTCCATCTCTTCTCTAGCCCGTGCCGCGCCCGCTTAGCCCCCTCAATCCGGCCAAACAAAAGCTGTTTCGGCATGCGGTGGCTGGGCATGCGGGCTACATGACCCAGCCATCGCAGACTTGCCTGCCGGAGGAGCTCACCGATGGGACCCTGCCCAGATCTTTCAAGGATTTGTGAGCTCCTCACACAATCAAGTCTGGTTAAACCCAGGATGGATCGTAGGCAGGCCAGCCTAAATGTTTCTAACCGGCGAAGATGTTCCATTAGGGGGGTCCACGTTTGGCAAGCGTAGAGAAGGGAGGGAATGACCGTGGCAGAGAAGACCTGAAGCTTAGTGCGGAGAGACAGACCAGAGAGCTTCCACACAGCGTCACGCAACCGAATAAAAGATATTGCCGCTCGACTGATTCGGAGTGAGACCTCTGCTGTTAAACTGGAGCCAGTCATAAGCACACTGCCCAGGTATGGGAAACTCTCCACTCTCTCCACAACTGCCCCATCACCGATTGGGAGTTGTGGGGGTGGAGTGTCCGATGGTACAAAATACCCAGGCAGGTGCTTAGTTTTGGTGGGGCTGATGGTAAGGCCCCACCTCTTAGTGGCACGCTCCAGTCTCAGCAGCAGCATCTCCAACTCCTCCTCTGACTGAGCAGCTATTACCAAATCATCAGCATACATAACGTGGTTGAGCAATAGGGAGCCATCCCTTGACCGCACCCGGGCATCGATTAGCCTCCCATTATATCTGTACCATATGGAGATTCCCCCGGTACAGCTATTGAAGGCTTCACGAACTACGTGGTCAAAATAGATGTTAAATAATGTGGGAGCCAGAGGACATCCCTGTCGCACCCCAAGGTGTACAGGGAATGGCTCTGACTCCCGGCCACGTAGTTTTACCGGGGCCCGCTCACCATCATGAAGGTCCTTAATGATCGTGAGCAGAGGGTCAGGTACTCCAAAAGCACGAAGAACGACCCAGAGCCCAGGCCTACTGATGGTATCATAAGCCTTGACCAGGTCAATAAAGCAGAGATGTAGGTCTTGTTGGAATTCCCTACACCTCTGCTGTAGCAGACGGACAGAAAATATGGCATCTGTGCAGGACCGCCCTTTCCTGAAACCGCATTGGGGCTCCGCAAGCCTCTCCTCAGCGTGCCTGGCAAGGCGATGTTGAATAATCCTTGCCAGGACCTTTCCCGGCACACTGAGGAGTGTGATGCCCCTGTAGTTGTTACAGTCTGTGCGGTCCCCCTTCTTAAAAAGGGGGACCACCAGGGCATCCTTCAAATCCTGCGGAACCCGTCCAGTGGTCCAGACTGTTGTTATGATGTCATATAGGGCAGTCTGTGCACAAACGCCACCCTCCCTCAGCATTTCGCTTGGGAGATCATCTCTGCCCGCTGCCTTTCCTGGTCTCAGACTCCGGATCGCCTTCAATACTTCCTCAGCAGATGGCACCTCAGCCAGCCACTCACAGGGGGTGACTTCTTCCAATATTTGAGGCACCGCAGCCTCAGCAGGGTCATCCTCACTTTGTGCCACGATGTTTTCCTGGCTGAGGGATTTTCCCTCCCCCAGGACCTCACAGAAATGCTCAGCAAATCTGCGAACCTGTTCCTGGGGGTCGGAGATTGGATCACCGGTTTTTCCCCTAGTGATGGTAATAGGTGTGGCGCTGCAGGTTACTTTTTTGATGGAGTTAAATAGAGATTTGTGCTCACGGGCCACTGAGGCAGACTCCATCTCCTCAGCAACCCGCGACCACCACCCATCCTTGCAGCGCCTCACGGCTCTCCGAACCTCCGAGCGAAGGCTGCGGTAAGCCTCCTCATTCTCTGACGTGGGATTCTGTAGCCGATGACAGTGGGCCTGTCGCTTTTTCTCAACCATCCTAAACACCTCCTCTGTCAGCCAGGGTGTCTGGGGAGGTCTGGACCGCGTACCCAAAGCAGCCATTGCAGCTGCATGAGTCACAGTCCTAAACCTCGCCCATTTACCCTCGACATCAGGAGGAGTCGGGGACGATGCCAATCCCAGCCGCAAGCGACGATGAAATTCTCGCTTGCAACTTTCATCAGATAACTGAGACCAGGCCACTTTAGGTCGGAATGGGGTCCTGGGTGTACACCCACCAACCGGAGTGGAAGAATGGCAAAGGCGCATCTTACGGATGACTAGTCGATAGTCAGTAGGCAGATCAGCTCCACAGTAGGCCCTGGTGTCAAGGACGTGGGCTCGCATCCGCGATGTAGTCCAGCACCACCACCACCCCCACCACCACCACCACCCCCACCACCACCATCACCACCTCCCCCACCACCACCATCACCACCACCACCACCATCACCACCACCACCTCCCCCACCACCACCACCATCACCACCACCACCACCCCCACCACCACCACCACCACCATCACCCCCACCACCACCATCACCACCACCACCACCATCACCACCACCACCACCACCACCTCCCCCACCACCATCACCATCACCACCACCACCACCCCCACCACCACCACCACCACCATCACCCCCACCACCACCATCACCACCACCACCACCACCCCTACGAGAAGTGGCTCAGGAAGTACGCCACTGGGTACTCCTTCGAGTCGATGCCGAGCACCTTGCTGAGGTGCAACAGGCGGCTTGCGGCCGCCTGCCGCGTGCTCCCGTAGCAGGCGATGTTGCAGTATGGCTCCTCGTACTCCACCTCATCCTCATCCTTCTCATCCTCCTCATCCTCATCCTCCTCATCCTCCTCCTCCTCCTCCTCATTCTCCACCTCCACCTCCCCCTCCTCCCCGCCGCCGCCACAGCCGTCCCGCCGCTCGCCCCCTTCCTCGCCCCGCTCCTCCCGCTTCCTCCTCCTCCGCCTCCGCCCGCCTCCTCCGCCTCCACCGCCTCCTCCGCCTCCACCGCCTCCTCCACCGCCTCCGCCTCCACCGCCTCCGCCGCCTCCACCGCCTCCTCCTCCCACCCGCCTTGCCCCGGCCGCGTCGTCCATGAGCAGGTTCAGCCGCAGCGCCCCGGCGTCGTGCAGGGCCCGCAGCGCCGCCGGCGACGCCGGCCCGCCCGGCGCGAGCGCCTTGCCGTGCCGCGACGGCACGCACATCACCCCGACGAGGTGGCCGCGCGGCGCCAGCGGGCGGGCGGCGGGCCGGAGGCCGCAGGCGACGGCGAGCGCCGCGAAGAGGACGTCCACGTGGTGCACGGCGCGGATCCAGTCGCGGAGGTAGAAGCCGCCCATGCGCCCGTTGATCTCGACGAGGCGCGGGCCCCGCCGGCGACAGCTTCAGCTCCACGTTGAAGACGCCGTCGGCGAGGCCGCAGCCGGCGCAGCAGCGGTGCGCCGCCGCGACCAGCTGCGACCGGCGGTCGCCGGCGAGGCCCGAGGGCATGGCCGCGGCCGTCTCGGCCAGGCCCGGCGGACGCGTGGGGCCGTTGTCCGAGACGAAGGCGGCGACGACGCGGCCGCCGAAGAGCACGAGGTCCACGTCGTGCTCCGTGCCGCCGGCGAACTCGGCGAGGAGGGAGCCGTTGCCGAAGCCGAGGCCGATGCCCGGGAAGTCGCTCTCCTGGCGGAGGTCGCGGGCGAGGGCGCGGGCCCGGCGGCGGCAGTCGGCGGCGCCGGCGACGAGGCGAGCGCCGACGGCGCCGGCGCCGAACTCCAGCTTGAGGACGCAGGGGAAGGCGAGGGAGCGGGAGGCCTCGTCGGCCTGGCGCCACGAAGACAGGGGCAGCGAGCGGACGGTGAAGGAGCTCGTCGACTGTTGGGGGTGGTGGGGTGGAGAGGAGGGGAGTGAGTGAGGGAGAGAGATGGTAAGATGGTGAGTGAGATAGTGAGATGGTGAGATGGTGAGATGGTGAGTGAGATAGTGAGATGGTGAGATGGTGAGATAGTGAGATGGTGAGATGGTGAGATAGTGAGATAGTGAGATAGTGAGATGGTGAGATAGTGAGATAGTGAGAAGGTGAGATGGTGAGATAGTGAGATAGTGAGAAGGTGAGATGGTGAGATAGTGAGATAGTGAGATGGTGAGATGGTGAGTGAGTGAGTGAGGGAGCGGGAGGCCTCGTCGGCCTGGCGCCACGAAGACAGGGGCAGCGAGCGGACGGTGAAGGAGCTCGTCGACTGTTGGGGGTGGTGGGTGGAGGGAAAGATGGTTAGTGAGAGAGATGGTGAGATGGTGAGATGGTGAGATGGTGAGATAGTGAGATGGTGAGTGAGTGAGTGAGATAGTGAGATGGTGAGATAGTGAGATAGTGAGATGGTGAGATGGTGAGATGGTGAGATAGTGAGATAGTGAGATGGTGAGATAGTGAGATAGTGAGATAGTGAGATAGTAAGATAGTGAGATGGTGAGATAGTGAGATAGTGAGATAGTGAGATGGTGAGATGGTGAGATGGTGAGATAGTGAGATGGTGAGATAGTGAGATAGTGAGACAGTGAGATAGTGAGATAGTAAGGTAGTGAGATAGTGAGATAGTGAGATAGTAAGATAGTGAGATAGTGAGATAGTGAGATAGTGAGATGGTGAGATGGTGAGATAGTGAGATAGTGAGATAGTGAGTGAGTGAGATGGTGAGATAGTGAGATAGTGAGATGGTGAGATAGTGAGATGGTGAGATAGTGAGATGGTGAGATGGTGAGATAGTGAGATAGTGAGATGGTGAGTGAGTGAGATAGTGAGATAGTGAGATAGTAAGATAGTGAGATAGTGAGATGGTGAGATGGTGAGATAGTGACATGGTGAGATAGTGAGATGGTGAGATAGTGAGATAGTGAGTGAGATAGTGAGTGAGATGGTGAGATAGTGAGTGAGTGAGATAGTGAGATGGTGAGTGAGTGAGTGAGGGAGCGGGAGGCCTCGTCGGCCTGGCGCCACGAAGACAGGGGCAGCGAGCGGACGGTGAAGGAGCTCGTCGACTGTTGGGTGGGTGGTGGAGAGGAGGGGAAGATGGTTAGTGAGAGAGATGGTGAGATAGTGAGATAGTGAGATGGTGAGTGAGTGAGTGAGATAGTGAGATGGTGAGATGGTGAGATGGTGAGATGGTGAGATAGTGAGATGGTGAGATAGTGAGATGGTGAGATAGTGAGATGGTGAGATAGTGAGATGGTGAGATAGTGAGATGGTGAGATAGTGAGATAGTGAGATAGTGAGATGGTGAGATAGTGAGATAGTGAGATAGTGAGATAGTGAGATGGTGAGATGGTGAGATGGTGAGATGGTGAGTGAGTGAGATAGTGAGATAGTGAGATAGTGAGATAGTAAGATGGTGAGATGGTGAGATAGTGAGATAGTGAGATAGTGAGTGAGTGAGATAGTGAGATAGTGAGATGGTGAGATAGTGAGATAGTGAGATGGTGAGATGGTGAGATGGTGAGATGGTGAGTGAGTGAGATAGTGAGATAGTGAGATAGTAAGATGGTGAGATGGTGAGACAGTGAGATGGTGAGATGGTGAGTGAGTGAGTGAGGGAGCGGGAGGCCTCGTCGGCCTGGCGCCACGAAGACAGGGGCAGCGAGCGGACGGTGAAGGAGCTCGTCGACTGTTGGGTGGGTGGAGGGGTGGAGGGGAAGATGGTGAGAGAGTGAGTGAGCAAGCGAGGGAGATATTGAGATAGTGAGATAGTGAGACAGTGAGATAGTGAGATAGTGAGATGGTGAGATGGTGAGTGAGTGAGTGAGGGAGATGGTGAGATGGTGAGATGGTGAGATGGTGAGTGAGTGAGATGGTGAGATGGTGAGATAGTGAGTGAGTGAGATAGTGAGATAGTGAGTGAGTGAGATAGTGAGATAGTGAGACAGTGAGATAGTGAGATAGTGAGATGGTGAGATAGTGAGATAGTGAGATAGTGAGACAGTGAGATAGTGAGATAGTGAGACAGTGAGATAGTGAGATAGTGAGATGGTGAGATAGTGAGATGGTGAGATAGTGAGATAGTGAGTGAGTGAGATAGTGAGATAGTGAGACAGTGAGATAGTGAGATAGTGAGACAGTGAGATAGTGAGATAGTGAGATGGTGAGATAGTGAGATAGTGAGATAGTGAGATGGTGAGATGGTGAGATAGTGAGATAGTGAGATGGTGAGATAGTGAGATAGTGAGATAGTGAGATAGTGAGTGAGTGAGTGAGGGAGCGGGAGGCCTCGTCGGCCTGGCGCCACGAAGACAGGGGCAGCGAGCGGACGGTGAAGGAGCTCGTCGACTGTTGGGGGTGGGTGGAGAGGAGGGGAGTGAGTGAGGGAGATGGTGAGATGGTGAGATGGTGAGTGAGTGAGATGGTGAGATGGTGAGATGGTGAGATAGTGAGTGAGTGAGATAGTGAGATGGTGAGATGGTGAGATGGTGAGATAGTGAGATAGTGAGATGGTGAGATAGTGAGATGGTGAGATAGTGAGATGGTGAGATAGTGAGATAGTGAGATGGTGAGATAGTGAGATGGTGAGATAGTGAGATGGTGAGATAGTGAGATGGTGAGATAGTGAGATAGTGAGATGGTGAGATGGTGAGATGGTGAGATGGTGAGATGGTGAGATGGTGAGATGGTGAGATAGTGAGATAGTGAGTGAGATAGTGACATGGTGAGATAGTGAGATAGTGAGATGGTGAGATGGTGAGATAGTGAGATAGTGAGATAGTGAGATGGTGAGATAGTGAGATAGTGAGATGGTGAGATAGTGAGATAGTGAGATGGTGAGTGAGTGAGATAGTGAGATAGTGAGATAGTGAGATGGTGAGATGGTGAGATAGTGAGATAGTGAGATGGTGAGATAGTGAGATGGTGAGATAGTGAGATAGTGAGATGGTGAGATAGTGAGATAGTGAGATGGTGAGTGAGTGAGATAGTGAGATAGTGAGATAGTGAGATGGTGAGATGGTGAGATAGTGAGATGGTGAGATAGTGAGATGGTGAGATAGTGAGATAGTGAGATGGTGAGATGGTGAGATGGTGAGATAGTGAGATGGTGAGATAGTGAGATGGTGAGATGGTGAGTGAGTGAGATAGTGAGATAGTGAGATAGTGAGATGGTGAGATGGTGAGATAGTGAGATGGTGAGATAGTGAGATGGTGAGATAGTGAGATGGTGAGATGGTGAGATGGTGAGATAGTGAGATAGTGAGTGAGTGAGTGAGGGAGCGGGAGGCCTCGTCGGCCTGGCACCACGAAGACAGGGGCAGCGAGCGGACGGTGAAGGAGCTCGTCGACTGTTGGGGGTGGGTGGAGAGGAGGGGAGTGAGTGAGGGAGATGGTGAGATGGTGAGTGAGTGAGGGAGAGAGGGAGATAGTGAGATAGTGAGATAGTGAGTGAGATAGTGAGATAGTGAGATAGTGAGATGGTGAGATGGTGAGATGGTGAGATAGTGAGATGGTGAGATGGTGAAATAGTGAGATAGTGAGATAGTGAGTGAGATAGTGAGATAGTGAGATAGTGAGATGGTGAGATAGTGAGATAGTGAGATGGTGAGATGGTGAGATAGTGAGATAGTGAGATAGTGAGTGAGATAGTGAGATAGTGAGATAGTGAGATAGTGAGATAGTGAGATGGTGAGATAGTGAGATAGTGAGATGGTGAGATAGTGAGATGGTGAGATAGTGAGATGGTGAGATGGTGAGATGGTGAGATGGTGAGATAGTAAGATAGTGAGATAGTGAGATAGTGAGATAGTGAGATAGTGAGATGGTGAGATAGTGAGATGGTGAGATGGTGAGATGGTGAGTGAGTGAGCGAGGGAGCGGGAGGCCTCGTCGGCCTGGCGCCACGAAGACAGGGGCAGCGAGCGGACGGTGAAGGAGCTCGTCGACTGTTGGGTGGGTGGTGGGTGGAGGGGAGGGGAAGATGGTTAGTGAGAGAGATGGTGAGATGGTGAGATAGTGAGATGGTGAGTGAGTGAGTGAGAGAGGGAGATAGTGAGATAGTGAGATAGTGAGTGAGTGAGTGAGGGAGCGAGGGAGATAGTGAGATGGTGAGATGGTGAGATGGTGAGATGGTGAGATAGTAAGATAGTGAGATAGTGAGATGGTGAGACAGTGAGATAGTGAGATAGTGAGATGGTGAGATGGTGAGATGGTGAGATAGTGAGATGGTGAGATAGTGAGATAGTGAGACAGTGAGATAGTGAGATGGTGAGATGGTGAGATGGTGAGATAGTGAGACAGTGAGATAGTGAGTGAGTGAGATAGTGAGATAGTGAGATAGTGAGATGGTGAGATGGTGAGATAGTGAGATGGTGAGATAGTGAGATAGTAAGATGGTGAGATAGTGAGATAGTGAGATGGTGAGATGGTGAGTGAGTGAGATAGTGAGATGGTGAGATAGTGAGATAGTGAGATAGTGAGATGGTGAGATAGTGAGATGAGATAGTGAGATATTGAGACAGTGAGATAGTGAGATAGTGAGTGAGTGAGATAGTGAGATAGTGAGTGAGATAGTGAGATGGTGAGATAGTGAGATAGTGAGTGAGATAGTGAGTGAGATAGTGACACAGTGAGATAGTGAGATAGTGAGATGGTGAGATGGTGAGATAGTGAGATAGTGAGATGGTGAGATGGTGAGATAGTGAGATAGTGAGTGAGTGAGATAGTGAGTGAGATAGTGAGATAGTGAGTGAGTGAGTGAGATAGTGAGTGAGATAGTGAGATAGTGAGTGAGATAGTGAGATAGTGAGTGAGATAGTGAGATAGTGAGATGGTGAGATAGTGAGATAGTGAGATGGTGAGATAGTGAGTGAGATGGTGAGATAGTGAGATAGTGAGTGAGATAGTGAGATAGTGAGACAGTGAGATAGTGAGATGGTGAGATAGTGAGATAGTGAGATGGTGAGATAGTGAGTGAGTGAGATAGTGAGATAGTGAGATAGTGAGTGAGATAGTGAGTGAGTGAGATGGTGAGATGGTGAGATGGTGAGATAGTGAGATAGTGAGTGAGATAGTGAGATAGTGAGATGGTGAGATAGTGAGATGGTGAGATAGTGAGATGGTGAGATGGTGAGATAGTGAGTGAAATGGTGAGACAGTGAGATAGTGAGATAGTGAGTGAGATGGTGAGACAGTGAGATAGTGAGATAGTGAGATGGTGAGATAGTGAGATAGTGAGTGAGATAGTGAGATAGTGAGTGAGATAGTGAGTGAGTGAGATAGTGAGATGGTGAGATAGTGAGTGAGCCGGCCTGGCATCACGAGCACAGCGACATTAAAAATCAAATCAATTTGTAACATTTTTGAGATGCGTTTTTCTGGATTTTGTCTCTCACTGTTCAAATAAACCTACCATTAAAATTATAGACTGATCATTTCTTTGTCAGTGGACAAATGTACAAAATCAGCAGGGGATCAAAGACTTTTTTTCCCTCACTGTATACACTACACTACTAAACTACACTATATACTACACTATACACTACAATACACTATACACTACTATACACTACACTACACACTACACTACACTACTACACTATACACTACACTACTACACTATACACTACACTATACACTACAGTACACACTACACTATACACTACACAACACTATACACTACACTACAACACTACACTATACACTATACATTAAACTACACACTACACTATAGACTACACTATACACTACACTACAAACTACACTACACACTACACTACTATACTACACACTACACGACACACTACACTATACACTACTACACTACTACACACTACACTATACACTACACTACTACACACTACACTATACACTACACTATACACTACTACACTACACACTACACTATACACTACACACCACACTACACTACACACTACACTATACACTACACTATACACTACACTACACACCACACTACACTACACACTACACTATACACTACAGTACTACACACTATACTATACACTACACTACACACCACACTACACTACACACTACACTATACACCACTACTACACACTACAATATACACTACACTACTACACACTACACTATACACACTATACACTACTACACTACACACTACACTATACACTACACTACTACACACTATACACACTATACACTACTACACTACACTATACACTACACTACACTATATAATACACTGTACACTGCACTATACACTACACTATACACTACACTATACACTACACTACTACACTATACACTACACTATACACTACACTATACACTACTACACTATACACTACACTATACACTACACTACACACTACACTACAAACTACACTACAAACTACACTACTACACACCCCCCCCCCCACCCCCCCCACCCCCCCACACCCCCCCACCACCCCCCAACCCACACCCCCCCACCCCCCCCTATCCCACCCCCCCCCCACCACCTCCCACCGCCCCCCACCACCCCCACCACCCCCCCCCTCCACCCCCACCAAAACACCCACGGGCGACGTGGACAGGTGCTGGTGGGTGATGCTCTTCTGCTTGACCCTCCGCATGGCCTCGACCGAGTTGCCTCGCAGGCCTAGGAGGTGGGCCACGCCTGCCGCTAGCACGATACACTCCTCCCAGAAGGCGAGACAGCCGCGCGGCCTGAGGCCCCGGGCCGCCACGGCCGCTGCTATGGCTTTCGCGTGCACGTCATCGCGGCGGTGATCCACGTAGTCGTAGAAGGTGAACGAGGTCACCATGCTCGCGGCGAAGTGCGCCGGGTTGGAGTCTACGAGGTGGATCTGTGGGTGGGTGTGGGTGGGTGGGTGTGGTGTGGGTGGGTGGTGGGTGGGTGGGGGGTGGGTGGGGGGGGTGGGGGGGGAGAGATGTGCATGGTGGGTGAGGTACGATGCGGAAGAGGTGCAGCACTACTGTACACTATACACTACTACACTATACATTATACACTACACAATACACTACACTATACACTACTATACACTACACTATACACTACTACACTATACACTACTACACTATACACTACACTACTACACTATACATTATACACTACACAATACACTACACTATACACTACTATACACTACACTATACACTACTACACTATACACTACTACACTATACACTACACTACTACACTACTATACACTATACTACTATACACTACTACACTATACACTACACTATACACTACTACACTATACACTACACTATACACTACTATACACTACACTATACACTACACTATACACTACACTACTACACTATACACTACACTATACACTACACTATACACTACACTACTATACACTACACACTACACTATACACTACACTATACACTACACTACTATACACTACACTATACACTACACTATACACTACACTATACACTACACTATACACTACACTATACACTACACTATACTATACACTACACTATACACTACACTATACACTACACTATACACTACACTATACACTACACACTACACTATGCACTACACTATACACTATACACTACACTATACACTACACTATACACTACACACTACACTATACACTACAATATACACGACAAAATACACTACACTATACACTACTACACTATACACTATACACTACTACACTATAGACTACACTACTATACACTACACTATACACTACTACACTATACACTACTACACTATACACTACACTATACACTATACACTTCATTATACACTACACTATACACTACACTATATACTACACTATACACTATACACTACACTATACACTACACTACTATACACTACACTATACACTACACTATACACTACACTACTATACACTACACTACTATACACTACACACTACACTATACACTACACTATACACTACACTATACTACTATACACTACACTATACACTACACTATACACTACACTACTATACACTACACTATACACTACACTATACACTACACTACTATACACTACACACTATACACTACACAATACACTACACAATACACTATACTACCATGCACTACACTATACACTACACTATACACTATACAATACACTATACACTACACTACACTGCTACACACTACCACACTACACAAGTACACTACCACACTACACTACACACTACACTACACACTACACTACCACACTACACTACAACACTATACACTACACTACTACACTACACCACCACACTACACTACTACACACTACACTACACACTACACTATACACTACACACTACACTATACACTACACTACACACTACACTATACACTACACTATACACTACACTATACAATACACTACACTATACACTACACACTACACTATACACTACACTACTATACACTACACTACACACACTATACACTACACTACTATACACTACACTATACACTACACTACACTATACACTACACTATACACTACACTACTATACACTACACTATACACTACACTATACACTATACACTACACTATACACTACACTATACACCACACACTACACACCACACTACACACCACACACACCACTCACACACCACACACACACACACCACACACACACACACACCACACACACCACACACACAACACACACACACCACACACACAACACACACCACACACACACACCACACACCACACACACCAACACACCACACACACACCACACACACACACATACACACACACCACACACACCACACACACACACCACACACACACCACACACACCACACACACACACCACACACACACCACACACACACACCACACACACACCACACACACACCACACACACACCACACACACACACCACACACACCATACACACACCACACTACCCCACACACCACACACCACACACACCACACACACACATCACACACCACACACACACATCACACACCACACACCACACACACCACACACACCACCACACACACCACACACACCACACACCACACACACACACACCACACACACACACCACACTACCCCACACACCACACACCACACACACCACACACACCACACACACCACACACACACATCACACACCACACACACATCACACACCACACACCACACACACCACCACACACACCACACACACCACCACACACACCACACACACCACACACCACACACACCACACTACCCCACACACCACACACCACACACACACACACCACTACACTACACACCACACTACACACCACACTACTACACACACACCACCACACCTCACTACACCACCACACTACACACTACACTACTACACACACACCACCACACACACACACACTACCACACACCACACACACACCACCACACACACACACACTACCACACACCACACACACACCACACACACCACACACACACACACACACACCCCACACACACACCACACACACCACACACACACCACACACACACACTGACACACACACCCCACACACACACCACACACACCACACACACACCACACACACACACTGACACACACACACCACACACACACCACACACGCCACACACACACACACCACACACACACACACCACACACACACCACACACCCCACACACACACCACACACACACCACACACACAACACACACACACCACACACACACCACACACACCACACACACCACACACACCACACACACACCACACACATACACCACACACACCACACACACACCACACACACACCACACACACCACACACACCACACACACCACACACACCACACACACACCACACACATACACCACACACACCACACACACCACACACCACACACACCACCACACACACCCCACAAACACCACCCCACCACACCACCACACAGCCCACCACACACACCACCCCAGCACACACACACCCCACAAACCCCACACAAACCCCACACAAACCCCACACACAACACCACACACTACACACCCCACACACACCACACACACCACCCCACACACACCACACACACCACCCCACACACCCCACACACAACACCACACACACACACCCAACACACACAAACCCCACACACAACACCACACACACACACCACACACACCACAAACCCCAACACACCACCCCACACACACTACCCCACACACACCACACACACACCACACACACCACACACACACCACACACACCACACACACACCACACACACACCACACACACACCACACACACCACACACACACCACACACACCACACACACCCCACACACACCACACACACACTACACACACACACCACACACACACACACACACACCACACACACACACACACACCACACACACACCACACACTACACACACTACACACACCACACACACACCACACACACCACACACACACACCACACACACCACACACACCACCACACACACACCACACACACCACACACACCACCCCACACACACACCACCACACACACACACCACACACACACACCACACACCCCACAAACACACAACACACACACCACACACACACACACCACACACACAACACACCCCACACACTCCACACCAAACACCAAACACACACCACACACCACACATACACACATACCACACACACACACACAACACACACCACCCACACACACCACACACACACACCACACCCCCCACACACACCACACACACCACACACACACACCACACACAAACACACCCCACACACACCCCACACACACACCACACACACCACACCCCACACACACACCACACACACCACACCCCACACACCACCACACCACCACACAGCCCACCACACACACTACCCCACACACACACACACCACACACACCACACACACACACCACACACACACCCCACACACACACTACACACACACACACCACACACATCACACCCCCCACAAACCCCACACAACCCCCCACACACACCCCACACACACCACCCCACAACCCCACACACACACCCCACACAAACCCCACAACCCCACCACCACACACAACACCCCACAACCCCAACACACCCCACACCACACCACACAACACCACCTACCCTGATCCCCAGCTGCTCGGCCAGCTCCCACACGAACTTCTTACTCGTGCCGCCAGCCCCGATGACCAGCACGTCGGCCCCGGCGAGCAGGTAGGCCTGCGATCGGTGCAGCATCGTCTGCAGCCAGGGCCCAGCGGCCTCGCCCCGCGACGAGGGATTCATCGCCTCGAAGGCGCCGCACGTGGACAGGCACCGGCGCTCGTTCACGTCAAGCACCACGGGCACCAGCACGCCGCTGGCACGTGTCAACACCAGGTCCACGCCTGGGATGGTGGTGGTGGTGGTGTGTTGTGTGTGGTGTGAGTGTGGTGTGGTGGTGTGTGTGTGTGGTGTGTGAGTGTGGTGTGGGTGTGGTGAGCGACGTTCGTAGGAGAAGTGAGTCGAGGGGCCACAACGGCGGTGATGGTGATGCAGGCAAACAGCCACCCAGCCACTCAGCCACTCAGCCACTCACTCAGCCACTCAGACACTCACTCAGCCACTCACTTACTCACTCACTCACCAACCCACCCACCCAGCCACTCACTCACTCACTCACCAACCCACTCACTCACTTACCAACCCACCCACCAACCCACTCACGCACCCACTCACTCACTCACTCACCCACTCACCCACCCACTCACCCACCCACTCACTCACCCACTCACTCACTCACCCACTCACCCACTCACCCACCCACTCACTCACCCACTCACTCACCCACTCACCCACCAACCCACTCACCAACTCACTTACTCACTCACTCACCCACTCACTCTCTCACTCACTCACTCACCCACCCACCCACCCACTCACCAACTCACTCACCCACTCACTCACTCACCCACTCACTCACTCACTCACCCACTCACTCACCCACCCACTCACTCACCCACTCACTCACTCACCCACTCACTCACTCATCCACTCACTCACCCACCCACCCACTCACTCACTCACCCACCCACCCACCAACCCACTCACTCACTCACCACTCACTCACCCACCAACCCACCCACCAACCCACCCACCCACCAACCCACTCACTCACCCACTCACTCACCCACCCACTCACTCACCCACTCACCCACTCACTCACTCACTCACCCACTCACTCACTGACCCACTCACTCACTCACTCACCCACTCACTCACTCACTCACTCACCCACTCACTCACTCACTCACCCACTCACTCACTCACTCACCCACTCACTCACTCACTGACTCACCCACTCACCCACTCACCCACTCACTCACTCACTCACCAACTCACCCACTCAATCACTCACCCACTCACTCACCCACTCACTCACTCACTCACCAACCCACCTACCAACCCAGTCACTCACCCACTCACTCACCCACTCACTCACTCACTCACCCACCCACTCACCCACTCACCCACCCACCCACCCACTCACCCACTCACTCACTCACCACTCACTCACCAACTCACTCACTCACTCACCACTCACCAACCCACTCACTCACTCACCACTCACTCACTCACTCACCCACCAACCCACCCACCAACCCACCAACCCACCCACTCACTCACCCACCCACCAACCCACCCACCCACTCACTCACCCACCAACCCACCCACCAACCAACCCACTCACCCACCCACCAACCCACCGACTCACTCACCGAGCATGTCAGTCTGTGCCCCGGCTCCGCCCCTCTCCCCGCCCGACAGGGTCCTCTCGTAGTCCATGACTCACTCACTCACTCACCAACTCACTCACCCACCCACCCACCCACCAACCCACTCACCAACCCACCCACCCACCAACCCACCAACCCACTCACCAACCCACCCACCCACCAACCCACCGACTCACTCACCCAGCATGTCAGTCTGTGCCCCGGCTCCGCCCCTCTCCCCGCCCGACAGGGTCCTCTCGTAGTCCATGACTCACTCACTCACTCACACACTCACCCACTCTCCCACTCACTCACCAACTCACCCACTCACTGACTCACCCACTCACCAACCCACCCACCAACCCACTCACTCACCCACCAACCCACCAACTCACCCACTCACTGACTCACTCACTCACTCACCCACCCACCAACCCACCCACCAACCCACTCACTCACCCACTCACTCACCACTCACTCACTCACTCACCCACCCACTCACTCACTCACCCACCCACTCACCAACCCACCCACTCACTCACTCACCCACCCACTCACTCACCCACTCACCCACTCACTCACCCACTCACCCACCCACCAACCCACCCACCAACCCACTCACTCACCCACTCACTCACCACTCACTCACTCACTCACCCACCCACTCACCCACTCACTCACTCACCACTCACTCACTCACTCACCGAGCATGTCAGTCTGTGCCCCGGCTCCGCCCCTCTCCCCGCCCGACAGGGTCCTCTCGTAGTCCATGACTCACCCACTCACTCACACACTCACCCACTCACCCACCCACCAACCCACCAACCCACTCACTCACCACCGACTCACTCACCGAGCATGTCAGTCTGCGCCCCGGCTCCGCCCCTCTCCCCGCCCGACAGGGTCCTCTCGTAGTCCTTGACTCACTCACTCACTCACCACTCACTCACTCACTCACCACTCACTCACTCACTCACCCACCCACTCACCAACCCACCAACCCACTCACTCACCACCGACTCACTCACCGAGCATGTCAGTCTGTGCCCCGGCTCCGCCCCTCTCCCCGCCCGACAGGGTCCTCTCGTAGTCCTTGACTCACTCACTCACTCACCACTCACTCACTCACTCACCACTTACTCACCCACTCACTCACCCACCCACTCACTCACCCACTCACCCACTCACCAACTCACTCACTCACTCACCCACCAACCCACTCACCAACCAACCCACCAACCCACCGACTCACTCACCGAGCATGTCAGTCTGCGCCCCGGCTCCGCCCCTCTCCCCGCCCGACAGGGTCCTCTCGTAGTCCATGACTCACTCACTCACTCACCAACTCACTCACCCATCCACTCACTCACTCACCCACTCACCCACCCACCCACCAACCAACCCACTCACCAACCCACCAACCCACTCACTCACCACCGACTCACTCACCGAGCATGTCAGTCTGCGCCCCGGCTCCGCCCCTCTCCCCGCCCGACAGGGTCCTCTCGTAGTCCATGACTCACTCACTCACTCACCAACTCACTCACCCACTCACTCACTGACTCACCAACCCACTCACTCACCACCGACTCACTCACCGAGCATGTCAGTCTGCGCCCCGGCTCCGCCCCTCTCCCCGCCCGACAGGGTCCTCTCGTAGTCCATGACTCACTCACTCACTCACCAACTCACTCACCCACTCACTCACTGACTCACCAACCCACCCACCAACCCGTCCATCAACCCACCAACCCACCCACTCACTCACCGAGCATGTCAGTCTGTGCCCCGGCTCCGCCCCTCTCCCCGCCCGACAGGGTCCTCTCGTAGTCCTTGACTCACTCACCCACTCACCCACTCACTCACTCACTCACCCACTCACTCACTCACTCACCCACTCACTCACCCACTCACTCACCCACCAACCCACCGACTCACTCACCGAGCATGTCAGTCTGTGCCCCGGCTCCGCCCCTCTCCCCGCCCGACAGGGTCCTCTCGTAGTCCATGACTCACTCACTCACTCACCAACTCACTCACCCACTCACTCACTGACTCACCAACCCACTCACTCACCACCGACTCACTCACCGAGCATGTCAGTCTGCGCCCCGGCTCCGCCCCTCTCCCCGCCCGACAGGGTCCTCTCGTAGTCCTTGACTCACTCACTCACTCACCACTCACTCACTCACTCACCACTCACTCACTCACTCACCCACCCACTCACCAACCCACCAACCCACTCACTCACCACCGACTCACTCACCGAGCATGTCAGTCTGTGCCCCGGCTCCGCCCCTCTCCCCGCCCGACAGGGTCCTCTCGTAGTCCTTGACTCACTCACTCACTCACCACTCACTCACTCACTCACCACTTACTCACCCACTCACTCACCCACCCACTCACTCACCCACTCACCCACTCACCAACTCACTCACTCACTCACCCACCAACCCACTCACCAACCAACCCACCAACCCACCGACTCACTCACCGAGCATGTCAGTCTGCGCCCCGGCTCCGCCCCTCTCCCCGCCCGACAGGGTCCTCTCGTAGTCCTTGACTCACTCACTCACTCACCACTCACCCACCAACCCACTCACCCACTCACCAACCAACCCACCCACCCACCGACTCACTCACCGAGCATGTCAGTCTGCGCCCCGGCTCCACCCCTCTCCCCGCCCGACAGGGTCCTCTCGTAGTCCATGACTCACTCACTCACTCACCAACTCACTCACCCACTCACTCACTGACTCACCCACTGACTCATTCACCCACTCACCCACTCACTCACTGACTCACTCACTCACTCACCAACCCACCTACCAACCAACTCACTCACGCACCCACTCACTCACCAACCAACCCACCAACCCACCGACTCACTCACCGAGCATGTCAGTCTGCGCCCCGGCTCCGCCCCTCTCCCCGCCCGACAGGGTCCTCTCGTAGTCCTTGACTCACTCACTCACCAACTCACTCACTCACCACTCACTCACCCACTCACTCACTCACTCACCCACTGACTCATTCACCCACCCACCCACCAACCCACTCACCAACCCGCCCACCAACCCACCGACTCACTCACCGAGCATGTCAGTCTGTGCCCCGGCTCCGCCCCTCTCCCCGCCCGACAGGGTCCTCTCGTAGTCCTTGACTCACTCACTCACTCACCACTCACTCACTCACCCACCCACTCACCCACTCACCCACTCACTCACCACTCACTCACTCACTCACCGAGCATGTCAGTCTGCGCCCCGGCTCCGCCCCTCTCCCCGCCCGACAGGGTCCTCTCGTAGTCCTTGACTCACTCACTCACTCACCACTCACTCACTCACCCACCCACTCACCCACTCACCCACTCACTCACCACTCACTCACTCACTCACCGAGCATGTCAGTCTGCGCCCCGGCTCCGCCCCTCTCCCCGCCCGACAGGGTCCTCTCGTAGTCCTTGACTCACTCACTCACCAACTCACTCACTCACTCACCCACTCACCCACCAACCCACCAACCCACTCACTCACCACCGACTCACTCACCGAGCATGTCAGTCTGTGCCCCGGCTCCGCCCCTCTCCCCGCCCGACAGGGTCCTCTCGTAGTCCTTGACTCACTCACTCACTCACCACTCACTCACTCACCACTCACTCACTCACCCACTCACCCACCCACCCACCAACCCACCGACTCACTCACCGAGCATGTCAGTCTGCGCCCCGGCTCCGCCCCTCTCCCCGCCCGACAGGGTCCTCTCGTAGTCCTTGACTCACTCACTCACTCACCAACTCACTCACCCACTCACTCACCCACCCACCAACCCACCCACCAACCCACCAACCCACCAACCCACCCACCGACTCACTCACCGAGCATGTCAGTCTGCGCCCCGGCTCCGCCCCTCTCCCCGCCCGACAGGGTCCTCTCGTAGTCCATGACTCACTCACTCACCAACTCACTCACTCACTCACCCACTGACTCATTCACCCACTCACCCACTCACTCACTGACTCACTCACTCACTCACCAACCCACCTACCAACCAACTCACTCACGCACCCACTCACTCACCAACCAACCCACCAACCCACCGACTCACTCACCGAGCATGTCAGTCTGCGCCCCGGCTCCGCCCCTCTCCCCGCCCGACAGGGTCCTCTCGTAGTCCATGACAGCGGCGGCCGCCCGCTCGGCCTGCCGCTGCAGGAGGCCCACGATGTCCGCCCGCTGCGCCTCGTCCGTGTAGCCCCACTCGGCCAGCGTGGTGCTGGCGGTCTGGGGCAGCGAGCAGCCGTGGCTCACCGGGCGGCTCGCTCGGCCGACACCACACACAAGCTGTGGGTGGAGGGGTGGTGGTGGTGGTGGGGGGGTGGTGGTGGTGGGGGGGTGGTGACAAGGTGGGGGGGTGACAGGGTGGTTGTTGTTGTGGTGGTTGTGGTGGTTGTGGTGGTGGTGGTTGTGGTGGTTGTGGTGCCAGCATCATTGGTCATGATGCTGGCACCTGGCCTGGAGTAATTGGAAGGCATGGGCCAGATCAGCTCAATAACAACGGTAGGAGGCTGCTAGATTTTTGTGCAGCCCATGGGATTGTAATTACCAACACGCTGTTCCGGCATCGGCGCATCCACACAACATCATGGATGCATGCCGGGTCCAAGCAAGAACATCTGCTGGACTACGTAGTGACGGACCAGCGGATGCGGGCCCATGTCCTTGACACCAGGGCCTATCGTGGAGCTGATCTGCCCTCTGACCATCGGCTTGTCGTCTGTAAGATGCACCTGCCTGTAAACCCGGGACCCCATTCAAAACCACAGTAGCATTGGCTCAAATGAAAGCTGCAAGCGAGAATTTCATCATCACTTGCAGCTGGGGTTGGCATCGTCCCCCCACTCCTCCTGATGTCGAGGGTAAATGGGCGAGGTTTAGGGCTGTGACTCATGCAGCTGCAATGGCTGCTTTGGGTATGCGGTCAGGACCTCCCCAGAGACCCTGGCTGACAGAGGAGGTGTTCAGGCTGGCTGAGAAAAAGCGACAGGCCCACTGTCATCGGCTGCAGCATCCCACGTCGGAAAATGAGGAGGCTTACCGCAGCCTTCGCTCGGAGGTTCGGAGAGCCGTGAGGCGCTGCAAGGATGGGTGGTGGTCGCGGGTTGCTGAGGAGATGGAGTTTGCCTCAATGGCCCGTGATCACAAATCGCTATTTAATTCCTTTAAAAAAGTAACCTACAGAGCCTCACCTATTACCATCATTAGGGGAAGAAAGTTGATGCGATCTCCGTCCCCCAGGAACAGGTTTACAGATTTGCTGAGCATTTCTGTGAGGTCCTGGGGGAGGGGAAATCCCTCAGCCAGGCTGCGGTGCCTCGAAAATTGGAGGAAGAAGTCACCCCCTGTGAGTGGCTGGCTGAGGTGCCATCTGTTGAGGAAGTACTGAAGGCGATCCAGAGTCTGAGACCAGGCCTGGGCTCTGGGTTGAGATGATCAATATAGGACATCATGATGGTGAGCGGGCCCGGGTAAAACTACGTGGCCGGGAGTCGGAGCCATTCCCTGTACACCTTGGGGTGTGACAGGGTTGTCCTCTGGCTCCCACATTATTTAACATCTATTTCGACCGCCTATTTCGTGAAGCCTTCGATGGCTGTACCAGAGGAATTTACATCTGGTACAATGGGAGGCTGATCGATGCCCGGGTGTGGTCAAGGGATGGCTCCTTATTGATCAACCAAGTTATGTATGCCAATGATCTGGTAATAGCTGCTCAGTCAGAGGAGGAGTTGGAGACGCTGCTGCTGAGACTGGAGCGTGCCACTAAGAGGTGGGGCCTTACCATCAGCCCCACCAAAACTAAGCACCTGCCTGGGTATTTTGTACCATCGGACACTCCACCCCCACAACTCCCAATCGGTGATGGGGCAGTTGTGGAGAGAGTGGAGAGTTTCCCATACCTGGGCAGTGTGCTTATGACTGGCTCCAGTTTAACAGCAGAGGTCTCACTCCGAATCAGTCGAGCGGCAATATCTTTTCATCGGTTGCGTAACGCTGTGTGGAAGCTACCTGGTCTGTCGCTCCGCACTAAGCTTCAGGTCTTCTCGGCTACGGTCATTCACTCCCTTCTCTACGCTTGCGAAACGTGGACCCCCCTAATAGAACATCTTCGCCAGTTAGAAACATTTAGGCTAGCCTGCCTACAATCCACCCTAGGTTTAACCAGGCTGGATTGTGTGAGGAGCTCACAAATCCTTGAAAGATCTGGGCAAGGTCCCATCGGAGAGCTCCTCCGGCAGGCAAGGCTGCGTTGGCTGGGTCATGTAGCCCGCATGCCCAGCCACCGCATGCCGAAATAGCTTTTGTTCGGCCGGATAGAGGGGGCTAAACGGGTGCGGCACGGGCTAGAGAAGAGATGGAGTGATGTGGTACAGGAGGACGTGGAGCTGAGTGGACTTGCCGATGACCGGTACCAGCGGTGTCAAGATCGGCCTCTGTGGAGGAGGCTCGTGAAGGACGCTACTTGGCAGTTGGAGGCAGTCGCCCTCCAACAACAACGGAGGGCGGAGGAGCGACGCTCACAACAATGAGCGGAGCGCCGGGTGGCTAAAGCACAGCAGGTTGGCACAGTAGGGGGCACAGGTGGTGCATCAGCCAGTCATCTCAGTCATCTCAGTCAGCCGACCCGTGGCACCTGCTGGGTCTGCCCTGTGACCTGCCAGCGGGCGTTCGACACTTCACGTGGCCTCAAGGTGCACATGGCCTGGCACAAGCGTCGTGGTGACGTCACCGCCACTTATTGGCGAATGGCGGTTGTTGTTGTTGATGTTGACGATGGTGGTGATGGTGGTGGTGATGGTGGTGGTGGATGGGTGATGATATTGACGATGGTGATGTTGATGGTGGTGGTGATGGTGATGGTGGGTGATGTTGATGGTGGTGGTGATGGTGGTGGTGATGGTGGTGGTGATGGTGGTGGTGGGTGGGTGCTGATGTTGATGATGGTGATGTTGATGGTGGTGGTGATGGTCGTGGTGGGTGGGTGCTGATGTTGATGATGGTGGTGATGATGGTGGGTGATGTTGATGGTGGTGTTGATGGTGGTGGTGGGTGGGTGGTGATGTTGATGATGGTGGTGATGGTGGTGGTGGTAGGTGATGATGATTATGGTGGTAATGTTGATGGTGGTGTTGATGGTGGTAGTGGGTGGGTGGTGATGTTGATGATGTTGATGATGGTGGTGGGTGGGTGATGTTGATGATGATGATGGTGGTGTTTATGGTGTTGATGGTGGTGATGATGGTGGGTGATGTTGATAGTGGTGTTGATGGTGATGTTGATGATGGTGGTGATGTTGATGATGGTGTTGATGGTGGTGTTGATGGTGGTGGTGGGTGGGTGGTGATGTTGATGATGGTGGTGGTGGTGGATGGGTGATGTTGTTGATGGTGGTGTTGATGGTGTTGATGGTGGGTGGTGGTGGGTGGGTGATGGTGGTGTTGATGTTGATGATGGTGGTGATGGTGGTGGTGGGTGGGTGGTGATGTTGATTATGATGGTGGTGATGTTGATGATGGTGGTGTTGATGATGGTGTTGATGGTGGTGGTGGGTGGGTGGTGATGTTGATGATGGTGGTGGTGGTGGGTGGGTGATGTTGATGAGAGTGGTGTTGATGATGGTGGTGTTGATGATGGTGGGTGATGTTGTTGATGGTGGTGTTGATGGTGGTGGTGATGTTGATGATGGTGGTGGTTGGTGGGTGATGATGGTGTTGATGTTGATGATGATGGTGTTGATGGTGGTCGTGTTGATGTTGTTTATGGTGGTGTTGATGTTGATGATGGTGGTGGTGGGTGGGTGATGTTGTTGATGGTGGTGTTGATGTTGATGATGGTGGTGGGTGGGTGGTGATGTTGATGTTGACGATGGTGGTGGTGATGATGATGTTGATGATGATGGTGCTGATGGTGTTGATGGTGGGTGGTGGTGGGTGGGTGATGTTGTTGATGGTGTTGATGGTGGTGGTGTTGATGATGGTGGTGGTGATGATGATGTTGATGATGATGGTGGTGTTGATGTTGATGATGGTGGTGGTGATGTTGATGATGGTGTTGGTGATGATGATGATGATGTTGATGATGATGGTGGTGTTGATGGTGGGTGGGTGATGTTGTTAATGTTGATGATGATGGTGGTGTTGATGGTGGTGTTGATGGTGGGTGATGTTGTTGATGTTGATGATGGTGGTGTTGTTGATGATGATGATGTTGATGATGATGGTGGTGTTGTTGATGATGATGATGATGTTGTTGATGATGATGGTGGTGTTGATGGTGGTGTTGATGGTGGGTGGGTGATGTTGTTGATGTTGATGATGGTGGTGTTGTTGATGATGATGATGATGATGTTGATGATGATGATGGTGGTGTTGATGGTGGTGGGTGGCTGCTGATCACCTGAGTCACGAACGGTTGGTTCTCTGGAGTTCGGCAAACCATCGCACAGACTCGGAAAGCCAGCTCAGGACGTGGCACCGTCCAGCCTGGAGCAGCAGCGGCATCAGCGTCATCATCATCATCAGCGTCATCATCGTCAGCAGCAGCATCAGCAGCGTCATCAGCAGCGTCATCATCGTCAGCGTCATCATCATCGTCAGCAGCATCATCATCATCAGCATCATCATCATCAGTGTCATCATCGTCAGCAGCAGCGTCATCATCATCATCAGCAGCATCATCAGCAGCAGCAGCGTCATCATCATCAGCAGCAGCGTCATCATCATCAGCAGCATCAGCAGCAGCAGCGTCATCATTGTCAGCATCATCATGACCATCGTCATCATCATCGTCGTCATCATCATCGTCATCATCAACATCATCATCGTTGTCATCATCAGCGTCGTTATCATCGTCATTGTCATCCAAGCAACCACCACCACCCCCCCACCACCACCACCACCCCCCCACCACCACCACTACCACCCCCACCACCACCATCATCACCACCACCACTCCCCCCACCACAACCACCACCACCCCCCCACCACCACCACCACCCCCCCACCACCACCACTACCACCACCACCACCATCACCACCACCACCACCACTCCCCCCACCACCACCACCACCACCCCCACTCCCCCCACCACCCCCACCACCACAACCACTCCCCACCACCACCCCCACCACCACCACCACTCCCCCCACTCCCCACTCCCCCCACTCCCCCCACTCCCCCCCACCCACCCACACCCACCCCCCTCCCCCTCCCACCTGCACGTGCCACTGCCGCCGTAGTTGCTGCTGCTTCCTCGTCCCGCGGCCCCAGCAAGGCCACGGGCCTCACGGTGGCCTGGAAGGCCTCGACCAGGACGCCGTCGCCGTCGGCCAGGGCCTCCAGGAGGCCTCCCACGGCCTCCAGGACGCCGTGCACGTCAGCGGCGCCGTGGTAGCTGGGGCGGGAGGACCGGCCGGAGGCCGCCAGCGACCGCCGCGAGTGGAGGCCCCAAGGTTTCACCACCACCTGGGGAGACGTCGGGGGTGGTGGTGTAGTGGTAGTGTGTAGTGTAGTGTAGTAGTCATCATCATGGTGTAGTAGTGTGTAGTGTATAGTGTAGTGTGGTAGTGTAGTGTAGTAGTAGTGTAGTGTGTAGTGTAGTGTGTGTAGTGTGGTAGTGTAGTGTGTAGTGTGGTAGTGTAGTGTGGTAGTGTAGTAGTGTGGTAGTGTAGTGTATAGTGTAGTGTAGTGTGTAGTGTAGTGTAGTAGTCATCATCATGGTGTAGTAGTGTGTAGTGTATAGTGTAGTGTATAGTGTAGTGTATAGTGTAGTAGTGTAGTGTAGTAGTGTAGTGTATAGTGTAGTGTATAGTGTAGTGTAGTGTGTAGTGTAGTGTAGGACCGGCCGGAGGCCGCCAGCGACCGCCGCGAGTGGAGGCCCCAAGGTTTCACCACAACCTGGGGAGACGTCGGGGGTGTAGTGTAGTGTAGTGTGTAGTGTAGTGTGTAGTGTAGTGTGTAGTGTATAGTGTAGTGTAGGACCGGCCGGAGGCCGCCAGCGACCGCCGCGAGTGGAGGCCCCAAGGTTTCACCACCACCTGGGGAGACGTCGGGGGTGTAGTGTAGTGTAGTGTGTAGTGTAGTGTGTAGTGTAGTGTGTAGTGTAGTGTGTAGTGTAGTAGTCATCATCATGGTGTAGTAGTGTGGTAGTAGTGTAGTGTGTAGTGTAGTAGTCATCATCATGGTGTAGTAGTGTGTAGTGTATAGTGTAGTGTGGTAGTGTAGTGTAGTAGTAGTGTAGTGTGTAGTGTAGTGTGTGTAGTGTGGTAGTGTAGTAGTGTAGTGTGGTAGTGTAGTAGTAGTGTAGTAGTAGTGTGTAGTAGTAGTGTGTAGTGTAGTAGTGTAGTGTGTAGTGTAGTGTGTAGTGTATAGTGTAGTAGTAGTGTATAGTGTAGTGTATAGTGTAGTGTAGTGTGGTAGTAGTGTAGTAGTAGTGTAGTAGTAGTGTGTAGTAGTAGTGTGTAGTGTAGTAGTGTAGTGTGTAGTGTGGTAGTAGTGTAGTAGTGTAGTGTGTAGTGTAGTGTATAGTGTAGTGTGTAGTGTAGTGTGTAGTGTAGTGTAGTGTGTAGTGTAGTGTATAGTGTAGTGTAGGACCGGCCGGAGGCCGCCAGCGACCGCCGCGAGTGGAGGCCCCAAGGTTTCACCACCACCTGGGGAGACGTCGGGGGTGGTGGTGTAGTAGTGTAGTGTAGTGTGTAGTGTATAGTGTAGTGTAGTGTGTAGTAGTGTAGTAGTAGTGTATAGTGTAGTAGTAGTGTAGTAGTAGTAGTGTATAGTGTAGTAGTAGTGTATAGTGTAGTGTATAGTGTAGTGTGTAGTAGTGTAGTGTAGTGTGTAGTGTAGTGTGTAGTGTAGTAGTGTATAGTGTAGTGTGTAGTGTAGTGTGTAGTGTAGTAGTGTAGTGTGTAGTGTAGTGTGTAGTGTAGTGTGTAGTGTAGTGTATAGTGTAGTAGTGTAGTGTGTAGTGTAGTGTATAGTGTAGTAGTGTAGTGTATAGTGTAGTGTATAGTAGTGTAGTGTATAGTGTAGTGTATAGTGTAGTAGTGTAGTGTATAGTGTAGTGTATAGTGTAGTGTATAGTGTAGTGTGTAGTGTAGTGTATAGTGTAGTGTATAGTGTAGTGTAGGACCGGCCGGAGGCCGCCAGCGACCGCCGCGAGTGGAGGCCCCAAGGTTTCACCACAACCTGGGGAGACGTCGGGGGTGGTAGTGTATAGTGTAGTGTAGTGTGTAGTGTAGTGTGTAGTGTAGTGTGTGTAGTGTGTAGTAGTGTAGTAGTAGTGTATAGTGTAGTAGTAGTGTAGTAGTAGTAGTGTATAGTGTAGTAGTAGTGTATAGTGTAGTGTATAGTGTAGTGTGTAGTAGTGTAGTGTAGTGTGTAGTGTAGTGTGTAGTGTAGTAGTGTATAGTGTAGTGTAGTAGTGTAGTAGTAGTGTAGTGTGTAGTGTAGTATTAGTGTAGTGTAGTAGTGTGGTAGTGTAGTGTGTAGTAGTGTAGTAGTGTGGTAGTGTAGTAGTGTAGTGTGGTAGTGTAGTAGTAGTGTAGTGTAGTAGTGTGTAGTAGTGTAGTGTGTAGTGTAGTAGTGTAGTGTATAGTGTAGTAGTAGTGTATAGTGTAGTGTATAGTGTAGTGTATAGTGTAGTGTATAGTGTAGTGTGTAGTGTAGTGTATAGTGTAGTGTAGGACCGGCCGGAGGCCGCCAGCGACCGCCGCGAGTGGAGGCCCCAAGGTTTCACCACCACCTGGGGAGACGTCGGGGGTGGTAGTGTATAGTGTAGTGTAGTGTGTAGTGTATATTGTAGTAGTAGTGTAGTAGTGTAGTGTATAGTGTAGTGTGTAGTGTAGTGTGGTAGTAGTGTAGTGTAGTAGTGTGTAGTGTAGTAGTGTAGTGTATAGTGTGGTAGTGTAGTAGTGTAGTGTGTAGTGTAGTGTGGTAGTGTAGTAGTAGTGTAGTGTGTAGTGTAGTGTGTAGTGTAGTGTATAGTGTAGTGTGTAGTGTAGTGTGGTAGTGTAGTAGTAGTGTAGTGTGTAGTGTAGTGTGTAGTGTAGTAGTGTAGTGTGTAGTGTAGTGTATAGTGTAGTGTATAGTGTAGTGTGTAGTGTAGTGTATAGTGTAGTAGTGTAGTGTGTAGTCTAGTGTAGTAGTGTAGTGTATAGTGTAGTGTATAGTAGTGTAGTGTCTAGTGTAGTGTATAGTATAGTGTATAGTGTAGTGTATAGTGTAGTGTGTAGTGTAGTGTATAGTGTAGTGTATAGTGTAGTGTGTAGTGTAGTGTATAGTGTAGTGTAGAGTGTAGTGTATAGTGTAGTGTATAGTGTAGTGTATAGTGTAGTGTGGTAGTAGTGTAGTGTGTAGTGTAGTGTGTAGTGTAGTAGTGTAGTAGTGTGGTAGTAGTGTAGTGTGTAGTGTAGTGTGTGTAGTGTGTAGTGTAGTGTGTGTAGTAGTGTGGTAGTAGTGTAGTGTAGTGTGGTAGTGTAGTGTGTAGTAGTGTAGTAGTGTGGTAGTAGTGTAGTGTGTAGTGTAGTGTGTGTAGTGTGTAGTAGTGTAGTAGTGTGGTAGTAGTGTAGTGTGTAGTGTAGTGTGTGTAGTGTGTAGTGTAGTGTGTGTAGTAGTGTGGTAGTAGTGTAGTGTGTAGTGTAGTGTGGTAGTGTAGTGTGTAGTAGTGTAGTAGTGTGGTAGTGTAGTAGTGTAGTGTGGTAGTGTAGTAGTAGTGTAGTGTAGTAGTGTGTAGTAGTGTAGTGTAGTGTGTAGTAGTGTAGTGTAGTAGTGTATAGTGTAGTGTGTAGTGTAATAGTGTAGTGTATAGTGTAGTGTAGTGTGTAGTGTATAGTGTAGTGTAGTGTATAGTGTAGTGTAGTGTGTAGTGTAGTGTGTAGTGTAGTAGTGTATAGTGTAGTGTAGTAGTGTAGTGTGTAGTGTAGTGTGTAGTGTAGTAGTGTAGTGTAGTAGTGTAGTGTGTAGTGTAGTGTGTAGTGTATAGTGTATAGCGGAGTGTGTAGTGTAGTGTGTAGTGTAGTGTGTAGTGTAGTGTATAGTGTAGTGTAGTGTGTAGTGTAGTGTGTAGTAGTGTAGTGTATAGTGTGTAGTGTAGTGTGTAGTGTAGTGTATAGTGTAGTGTATAGTGTGTAGTGTGGTGTAGTAGTAGTGTAGTGTAGTAGTGTAGTGTGTAGTGTAGTAGTAGTGTGTAGTGTATAGTGTGTGTAGTGTAGTGTGTAGTGTAGTGTATAGTGTAGTGTAGTGTGTAGTGTAGTGTATAGTGTAGTGTATAGTGTAGTGTGTAGTGTAGTGTGGTAGTGTAGTAGTGTATAGTGTAGTGTGTAGTGTAGTGTATAGTGTAGTGTGTATTGTAGTGTATAGTGTAGTGTAGTGTGTAGTGTGTAGTAGTGTAGTGTGTAGTGTAGTAGTAGTGTAGTGTATAGTGTAGTGTGTAGTGTAGTGTATAGTGTAGTGTGTAGTAGTGTAGTGTAGTGTGTAGTGTATAGTGTAGTGTGTAGTGTAGTGTATCGTGTAGTGTGTAGTAGTGTAGTGTAGTGTGTAGTGTAGTAGTGTAGTGTATAGTGTAGTGTGTATTGTAGTGTATAAAGTGGTGGTATGTAGTGTAATAGTGTAGTGTATAGTGTAGTGTAGTGTGTAGTGTAATAGTGTAGTGTATAGTGTATTGTATAGTGTAGTGTATAGTGTAGTGTAGTGTGTAGTGTGTAGTAGTGTAGTGTGTAGTGTAGTAGTAGTGTAGTGTATAGTGTAGTGTGTAGTGTAGTGTATAGTGTAGTGTGGTAGTAGTGTAGTGTAGTAGTAGTGTAGTGTGTAGTGTAGTGTATAGTGTAGTGTAGTGTGGTAGTGTAGTAGTGTAGTGTAGTGTGTAGTGTAGTGTGTAGTGTAGTAGTGTAGTGTGTAGTGTAGTGTATAGTGTAGTGTAGTAGTAGTGTAGTGTGTAGTGTAGTAGTGTAGTGTATAGTGTGTAGTGTAGTGTATAGTGTAGTGTAGTGTGGTAGTGTAGTGTGGTAGTATAGTGTGTAGTGTAGTGTGTAGTGTAGTGTATAGTGTAGTGTGTAGTGTAGTGTGTAGTGTAGTGTGTAGTGTAGTAGTGTATAGTGTAGTGTATAGTGTAGTGTGTAGTGTAGTGTGGTAGTGTGGTAGTGTAGTGTGGTAGTGTAGTGTGTAGTGTAGTGTGTAGTGTAGTGTAGTGTGTAGTGTATAGTGTAGTGTAGTGTGTAGTGTAGTGTGGTAGTGTAGTGTGGTAGTGTGGTAGTGTAGTGTATAGTGTAGTGTGTATTGTAGTGTATAGTGTAGTGTAATCTGTAGTAGTGTAGTGTGTAGTGTAGTAGTAGTGTAGTGTGTAGTTTAGTGTGTAGTGTATAGTGTAGTGTATAGTGTAGTGTAGTGTGTAGTGTAGTGTATAGTGTAGTGTAGTGTGTAGTGTAGTGTATAGTGTAGTGTGGTGTATAGTGTAGTGTATAGTGTAGTGTAGTGTATAGTGTAGTGTATAGTGTAGTGTATAGTGTAGCATAGTGTGTAGTGTAGAGTATAGTGTAGTGTATAGTGTAGTGTATAGTGTAGTGTATAGTGTAGTATATAGTGTAGTGTATAGTGTAGTGTATAGTGTAGTGTATAGTGTAGTGTATAGTGTAGTGTAGTGTGCAGTGTATAGTGTAGTGTATAGTGTAGTGTATAGTGTAGTATTGTAGTGTAGTAGTGTAGTGTATAGTGTAGTGTATAGTGTAGTGTATAGTGTAGTGTAGTGTGTAGTGTATAGTGTAGTGTGTAGTGTAGTAGTAGTGTAGTAGTAGTGTAGTGTGTAGTGTAGTGTATAGTGTAGTGTAGTGTGTAGTGTATAGTGTAGTGTGTAGTAGTAGTGTAGTAGTAGTGTAGTGTGTAGTGTAGTGTGGTAGTGTAGTGTGGTAGTGTGGTAGTGTAGTGTAGTAGTGTAGTGTGGTAGTGTAGTGTATAGTGTAGTGTGTATTGTAGTGTATAGTGTAGTGTGTAGTGTGTAGTAGTGTAGTGTGTAGTGTAGTAGTAGTGTAGTGTGTAGTTTAGTGTGTAGTGTAGTGTATAGTGTAGTGTATAGTGTAGTGTAGTGTGTAGTGTAGTGTATAGTGTAGTGTAGTGTGTAGTGTAGTGTATAGTGTAGTGTAGTGTATAGTGTAGTGTAGTGTGTAGTGTAGTGTATAGTGTAGTGTAGTGTGTAGTGTAGTGTATAGTGTAGTGTGTAGTGTAGTGTATAGTGTAGTGTATAGTGTAGTGTGTAGTGTAGTGTGGTAGTGTAGTAGTGTATAGTGTAGTGTGTAGTGTAGTGTATAGTGTAGTGTAGGGTGGTAGTGTGTAGTGTGGTGTGTAGTATAGTGTAAAGTGTAGTGTATAGTGTAGTGTATAGTGTAGTGTATAGTGTAGTGTGTAGTGTAGTGTGCAGTGTATAGTGTAGTGTATAGTGTAGTGTATAGTGTGTAGTGTATAGTGTAGTGTAGTGTGTAGTGTAGTGTAGTAGTGTAGTGTGTAGTAGTGTAGTGTGTAGTGTATAGTATAGTGTGTAGTGTATAGTGTAGTGTATAGTGTAGTGTATAGTGTAGTGTATAGTGTAGTGTAGTGTGTAGTGTAGAGTATAGTGTAGTGTATAGTGTAGTGTAGTGTATAGTGTAGTGTAGTGTATAGTGTAGTATATAGTGTAGTGTATAGTGTAGTGTAGTGTGCAGTGTATAGTGTAGTGTATAGTGTAGTGTATAGTGTAGTGTAAAGTGTAGTGTATAGTGTAGTGTATAGTGTAGTGCTTGTCCCCCCTGGTGCCCCCATCCCCACCACGCCCCCCCACTCCCACGTGACCCCCACGTGACCCCCACACACACTCCCACGTGACCCCCACGTGACCCCCACACTCCCTCCCACGTGACCCCCACGTGACCCCCACGTGACCCCCACGTGACACCCACGTGGTGCTAGGTAACCTTGCGAAGGCGTGCCGCGCTGTCGTGGTTGAGGAAGTCGTAACACCGCCTCCCTCACCAGAGCCTCCTGGCCCACGTGACCCCCACGTGACCCCCACGTGACCCCCACGTGACTCCCACATGACCCACGTGACTCCCACGTGACCCCCACACACTCCACCACGTGGTGCTAGGTAACCTTGCGAAGGCGTGCAGCTCTGTCGTGGTTGAGGAAGTCGTAACACCGCCTCCCTCACCAGAGCCTCCTGGCCCACGTGACCCCCACGTGACCCCCACGTGACCCCCACGTGACTCCCACGTGACCCCCACGTGACTCCCACGTGACCCCCACGTGACCCCCACGTGACCCCCACGTGGTGCTAGGTAACCTTGCGAAGGCGTGCCGCGCTGTCGTGGTTGAGGAAGTCGTAACACCGCCTCCCTCACCAGAGCCTCCTGGCCCACGTGACCCCCACGTGACCCCCACGTGACCCACACACACACCCACGTGACCCCCACGTGACCCCCACGTGACTCCCACGTGACCCCCACGTGACCCCCACGTGCTGCTAGGTAACCTTGCGAAGGCGTGCCGCGCTGTCGTGGTTGAGGAAGTCGTAACACCGCCTCCCTCACCAGAGCCTCCTGGCCCACGTGACCCCCACGTGACCCCCACGTGACTCCCACGTGACCCTCACTCCCTCCCACGTGACTCCCACGTGACCCCCACGTGACCCCCACGTGCTAGGTAACCTTGCGAAGGCGTGCAGCGCTGTCGTGGTTGAGGAAGTCGTAACACCGCCTCCCTCACCAGAGCCTCCTGGCCCACGTGACCCCCACGTGACCCCCACGTGACCCCCACGTGACCCCCACGTGACCCCCACGTGACCCACACACACACCCACGTGACCCCCACGTGACCCCCACGTGGTGCTAGGTGACCTTGCGAAGGCGTGCAGCGCTGTCGTGGTTGAGGAAGTCGTAACACCGCCTCCCTCACCAGCGCCTCCTGGCCCACGTGACCCCCATGTGACCCCTACGTGACCCCCACACACCCCCACGTGACCCCCACGTGACCACCACGTGGTGCTAGGTAACCTTGCGAAGGCGTGCCGCGCTGTCGTGGTTGAGGAAGTCGCACACCGCCTCCCTCACCAGCGCCTCCTGGCCGCCGGCCCCGTCCAGGGCCACCACCCGCAGGGCCGTAGCCAGGGGCGAGTCCCCGGGGTCGTAGCGCACGCGGGGGCGGAGCACGAAGGCCAGCGTCTCGGGCACGCGCACACTGGAGGGGGAGGGGGAGGGGCAAACACACAGCACACACACAGTGTATACAGTACACACACAGTGTATACAGTACACACACAGTGTATACAGTACACAGTGTACACACAGTGTATACAGTATACACACAGTACACACAGTGTATACAGTACACACACAGTACACACAGTGTATACAGTACACACACAGTACACACAGTGTATACAGTACACACACAGTACACACAGTGTATACAGTACACACAGTGTATACACACACACAGTGTATACACACACAGTGTATACACTGTGTGTGTATACACACACAGTGTATACACACACACAGTGCATACACACACAGTGTATACACACACACAGTGTATACACACACAGTACACACACAGTGTATACACACACAGTGTATACACACTTAGTGTATACACACACAGTGTATACACACAGTGTGTATACACACACAGTACACACACAGTGTATACACACACAGTGTATACACACACACAATGTATACACACACACAGTGTATACACACACAGTGTATACACACACAGTGTACACACACACAGTGTATACACACACAGTGTATACACACACACAGTGTATACACACACACAGTGTATACACACACAGTGTGTGTGTACACACACAGTGTGTACACACACACAGTGTACACACACACAGTGTATACACACACAGTGTATACACACACACAGTGTACACACACACAGTGTATACACACACAGTGTATACACACACAGTGTATACACACACACAGTGTACACACACACAGTGTACACACACAGCACACACACAGTGTATACACACAGTGTACACACACACAGTACACTTAGTACACACATAGTGTATACACACACAGTGTATACATACACAGCACACACACAGTGTATACAGTACACACACAGTGTATACAGTACACAGTGTACACACACAGTGTACACAAACAGCACACACACAGTGTATACAGTACACACACAGTACACACAGTGTATACAGTATACAGTACACACACAGTGTATACACACACAGTGTATACACACACAGTGTGTACACACACAGTGTATACACACAGTGTATACCCACACAGTGTATACACACAGTGTGTACACACACACAGTGTATACACACACAGTGTATATACACACACAGTGTATACACACACAGTGTATACACACACAGTGTATACACACACACAGTGTATACACACACAGTGTATACACACAGTGTATATACACACAGTGTATACACACACAGTGTATACACACACAGTGTATACACACACAGTGTACACACACACAGTGTATACACACACAGTGTATACACACACAGTGTACACACACACAGTGTACACACACACAGTGTATACACACACAGTGTACACACACACAGTGTACACACACACAGTGTATACACACACAGTGTATACACACACAGTGTATACACACACAGTACACTTAGTACACACACAGTGTAAACACACACAGTGTATACACACACAGTGTACACACACACAGTGTATACACACACAGCGTATACACACAGTGTGTATACACACACAGTGTATACACACAGTGTGTATACACACACAGTGTATACACACACAGTGTATACACACACAGTGTGTGTACACACACAGTGTATACACACAGTGTATACACACACAGTGTATACACACACAGTGTATACACACACAATGTATACACTCACAGTGTATACACACACAGTGTATACACACACACAGTGTATACACACACAGTGTATACACACACAGTACACACACAGTGTATACACACACAGTGTATACACACACAGTACACTTAGTACACACACAGTGTATACACACACAGTGTACACACACACACAGTGTATACACACACACAGTGTATACACACACAGTGTACACACACACAGTGTACACACACACAGTGTATACACACACAGTGTATACACACACACAGTGTATACACACACACAGTGTATACACACACAGTGTACACACACAGTGTACACACACACAGTGTACACACACACAGTGTATACACACACAGTGTATACACACACAGTACACTTAGTACACACACAGTGTAAACACACACAGTGTATACACACACAGTGTATACACACACAGTACACACACAGTGTACACACACACAGTGTATACACACACAGTGTATACACACAGTGTGTATACACACACAGTGTATACACACAGTGTGTATACACACACAGTGTATACACACACAGTGTGTGTACACACACACAGTGTATACACACACAGTGTACACACACACAGTGTATACACACACAGTGTATACACACACAGTGTATACACACAGTGTATACACACACAGTGTATACACACACAGTACACTTAGTACACACACAGTGTATACACACAGTGTACACTTAGTACACTTAGTACACACACAGTACACACACACAGTACACACACACAGTACACACACACACGGTACACACACACACGGTATGCACACACACACACACGGTATACACACACAGAGACTCACACACACACACACTCATACAAAGACAAAGATCCCCCGTCTAGCCTTAACAGACTGTAGGGGCAAGTGCTGTTAGCGAGCACCTATGAAGGCCGGAATGGTACACGAGGGGGTGGGTGGCCAGCACCACGCCCGACCGCCTTTGTCTCCCTAGTGACGATGTTTACTACACACCGCTACACCAGGTACTCATTTGAGGCTGAGTCGACCTAGGGGAGGCCCGGGACCGGTTCAGATAATCGTCACTGGTGGTGTTGGCCGTGAGCGGGAATCGAACCCGGGTCGCCGGGTTCATAGCGCAGCATAGCGCTAACCGCTACACTACCGCTCCCCACATCATCAGGTGTGAAAACCACAGCAAAATGTATTCAAATTTTCTTGCTGTGGTATTCACACCTGATGATGATTGCTTGTGTTGCAGGCGAAACGTCGTGAGAATTGTATTGTTTTATATTTTTATTGTTATTTTATTGTTTCCCCTATCTTCGTGGTGGTGACTTTACCGAAAGAACCAAGAATAATAATTTTATTGTTTTACAATAATTTTATTGTTTTATATTTTTATTATTTTATTGTTTCCCTATCTACGTGGTGGTGACTTGAACATCTTCCCCGGTTAGAAACATTCAGGCTGGCCTGTCCAACGATCCATCCTGGGTTTAACCAAGGCTGGATTGTTTGACAGCAGAGGTCTCACTCCGAATCAGTCGAGCGACAATATCTTTTCATCGGTTGCGTAACGCTGCTGTGTGGAAGCTACCTGGTCTGTCGCTCCGCACTAAGCTTCAGGTCTTCTCGGCCACGGTCATTCCCTCCCTTCTCTACGCTTGCGAAACCTGGACCCCCCCCCCCCCCCATTGAATATCTTCGCTGGTTAGAAACATTCAGGCTGGCCTGTCCAACGATCCATCCTGGGTTTAACCAGGGCTGGATTGTTTGACAGCAGAGGTCTCACTCCGAATCAGTCGAGCGGCAATATCTTTTCATCGGTTGCTTAACGCTGCTGCGTGGAAGCTACCTGGTCTGTCACTCCGCACTAAGCTTCAGGTCTTCTCGGCCACGGTCATTCCCTCCCTTCTCTACGCTTGCGAAACGTGGACCCCCCTAATTGAACATCTTCGCCGGTTAGAAACATTCAGGCTGGCCTGTCCAACGATCCATCCTGGGTTTAACCAAGGCTGGATTGTTTGACAGCAGAGGTCTCACTCCGAATCAGTTGAGCGGCAATATCTTTTCATCGGTTGCTTAACGCTGCTGCGTGGAAGCTACCTGGTCTGTCGCTCCGCACTAAGCTTCAGGTCTTCTCGGCCACGGTCATTCCCTCCCTTCTCTACGCTTGCGAAACGTGGAACCCCCTAATTGAACATCATCGCCGGTTAGAAACATTCAACCTGGCCTGTCCAACGATCCATCCTGGGTTTAACCAGGCTGGATTGTTTGACAGCAGAGGTCTCCGAATCAGTTGAGCGGCAATATCTTTTCATCGGTTGCGTAACGCTGCTGTGTGGAAGCTACCTGGTCTGTTGCTCTGCACTAAGCCTCAGATTTTCTCGGACACGGTCATTCCCTCCCTTCTCTACGCTTGCGAAACGTGGACCCCCCTAATTGAACATCTTCGCCGGTTAGAAACATTCAAGATGGCCTGTCCAACGATCCATCCTGGGTTTAACCAGGGCTGGATTGTTTGACAGCAGAGGTCTCACTCCGAATCAGTCGAGCGGCAATATCTTTTCATCGGTTGCGTAACGCTGCTGCGTGGAAGCTACCCGGTCTGTCGCTCCGCACTAAGCTTCGGGTCTTCTCGGCCACAGTCATTCCCTCCCTTCTCTACGCTTGCGAAACGTGGACCCCCCTATTTGAACATCTTCGCCGGTTAGAAACATTCAGGCTGGCCTGCCCGACGATCCATCCTGGGTTTAACCAGGGCTGGATTGTTTGACAGCAGAGGTCTCACTCCGAATCAGTCGAGCGGCAATATCTTTTCATCGGTTGCGTAACGCTGCTGCGTGGAAGCTACCTGGTCTGTCGCTCCGCACTAAGCTTCGGGTCTTCTCGGCCACGGTCATTCCCTCCCTTCTCTACGCTTGCGAAACGTGGACCCCCCTAATTGAACATCTTCGCCGGTTAGAAGCATTCAGGCTGGCCTGCCCGACGATCCATCCTGGGTTTAACCAAGGCTGGATTGTTTGACAGCAGAGGTCTCACTCCGAATCAGTCGAGCGGCAATATCTTTTCATCGGTTGCGTAACGCTGCTGCGTGGAAGCTACCTGGTCTGTCGCTCCGCACTAAGCTTCGGGTCTTCTCGGCCACGGTTATTCCCTCCCTTCTCTACGCTTGCGAAACCTGGACCCCCCCCCTAATTGAACATCTTCGCCGGTTAGAAACATTCAGGCTGGCCTGCCCAACGATCCATCCTGGGTTTAACCAGGGCTGGATTGTTTGACAGCAGAGGTCTCACTCCGAATCAGTCGAGCGGCAATATCTTTTCATCGGTTGCGTAACGCTGTGTGGAAGCTACCTGGTCTGTCGCTCCGCACTAAGCTTCGGGTCTTCTCGGCCACGGTCATTCCCTCCCTTCTCTACGCTTGCGAAACCTGGACCACCCCCCCCAATTGAACATCTTCGCCGGTTAGAAACATTCAACCTGGTCTGTCCAACGATCCATCCTGGGTTTAACCAGGGCTGGATTGTTTGACAGCAGAGGTCTCATCCGAATCAGTCGAGCGGCAATATCTTTTCATCGGTTGCGTAACGCTGCTGCGTGGAAGCTACCTGGTCTGTCGCTCCGCACGAAGCTTCAGGTCTTCTCGGCCACGGTCATTCCCTCCCTTCTCTACGCTTGCGAAACCTGGACCCCCCCCCCCTTAATTGAACATCTTCGCCGGTTAGAAACATTCAGGCTGGCCTGTCCAACGATCCATCCTGGGTTAACCAAGGCTGGATTGTTTAACAGCAGAGGTCTCACTCCGAATCAGTCGAGCGGCAATATCTTTTCATCGGTTGCGTAACGCTGCTGCGTGGAAGCTACCTGGTCTGTCGCTCCGCACTAAGCTTCAGGTCTTCTCGGCCACGGTCATTCCCTCCCTTCTCTACGCTTGCGAAACCTGGACCCACCCCCTAATTGAACATCTTCGCCGGTTAGAAGCATTCAGGCTGGCCTGCCCGACGATCCATCCTGGGTTTAACCAGGGCTGGATTGTTTGACAGCAGAGGTCTCACGACGAATCATTCCGAGCTGCTGCTGGGCGGAAGGAAGCTACCCAGGTCTGCCACTCTCCATGCTACCGAGCCCGTGAGCGTTGCCACGAGGCGACCGGGAGCCCCCCTTACCGTCGGCCATGGACTGGACACGCGCGGGAAAATATTAAGTGGGCCTCACAGCTCCAGCTCAGCGCATGGCCTCCCGCGGCGCGAATAGCAGCAATATTCTGGCCGTGCCGAAAGGGGGATCTCTACCTGCCTCCAGAGACCATCGAAGGTTTGGGAATCTCGCGACGGGGGACGGGGGATTGGGGTAGGGACAGAACTGCTCTAGAGGATTTAAAGCTTTCGCGACCGCAAGGATTCATCTTCTTTGGTTCTTTCGGTAAAGTCACCACCACCACCACCACGTAGAATGAGAATAAAATAATAAATTGATAATATAAAATAACGCAGTAAAAATTCTCACGACGCTCCAGCGCTGCCCTCCAGACAGTCTCGTCCCTTCACCTGATGAAGGCCGCTTGCGTTGTGGCCGAAACGTCGTGAGAATTTTCACTGCGTTACTTTATTTCATCAATTTGTTATTTTGTTCTCAGTCTACGTGGTGGTGGTGGTGGTGGTGACTTTACCGAAAGAAGCAAAGGAGATGCTCTGGAGGAGTTGTACACCCCTAGCTGCCACCAGCTGTTCATCGGCGTCAAATGAAATGCTTTCGCTCCGGATGCACCCGCTGCAAAGTATTAGCTGTATTTTGATTTTAGAGTGCCAATCAGCAAAAAAAGCGTCACGTTGACAAAATACGTAAATAGTTCACTACTTTAGCCCCCACGCTGTGTTGTTGTTGAAGAGTGAATCCACAACATTTACAGTTTGAGTAATAGTGCTGTGACGTTTCGCTGGTGATTACATCCCCAGCGTCATCGGGAAATTCGCCAGAATGGTAAAGGCCTCTCCGCTCGCTCCCGGTCTTAAATAGATCAGCAGCAGGGTGACATCGTCAACATTTAACTCATTTCAGGTGCAGTGATTTGAGGCGGAGGGAGGGGGGGGGGTATTGTAATTATGTAATCGATTAGTAATCGGTCAATGGTTATGATTAGTAACGAGTTGTTGATTAGTAATTAGTTGTTTTTGTTGTAGTACGGAGTTAGACTGCCGGCCTTAATCTAAGTTGTCTTGTTGTGGTTGTTGTTGTTGTGGTTGTTGTTGTTGTGGTTGTTGTTGTTGTTTGACTTTGCATCCCACACCGGGATATTTTGGCAAGCGGCGTCGGTGGTGGTGTTAACGGTGGCTTATTTCCAGGAATATTTTCGCTGTTTTTTTTCCCCCCCCCATGGATTTTTCTGTTTTTGCATCTGGCTACCATGAGAGATTCGTTCACGAGGCAATCCACATATACAAGCACAGAGACAACTTCAACCGAGAAGATGGATTCTGGGCTGAGCAATCATTGGAAGGATTTGATAAACCATTTCTGGGTCTTAATTGATTGTTCATGCTTACGGCTTAGCAATCATTGGAAGGATTTGATAAACCATTTCTGGGTCTTAATTGATTGTTCACGCTTACGGCTACCATGATAGATTCGTTCACGAGGCTATCCACATATACAAGCACAGAGACAACTTCAACCGAGAAGATGGATTCTGGGCTTAGCAATCATTGGAAGGATTTGATAAACCATTTCTGGGTCTTAATTGATTGTTCACGCTTACGGCTACCATGAGAGATTCGTTCACGAGGCTATCCACATATACAAGCACAGAGACAACTTCAACCGACAAGATGGATTCTGGGCTTAGCAATCATTGGAAGGATTTGATAAACCATTTCTGGGTCTTAATTGATTGTTCACGCTTACGGCTACCATGAGAGATTCGTTCACGAGGCTATCCACATATACAAGCACAGAGACAACTTCAACCGAGAAGATGGATTCTGGGCTGAGCAATCATTGGAAGGATTTGATAAACCATTTCGGGGTCTTAATTGATTGTTCACGCTTACGGCTACCATGAGAGATTCGTTCACGAGGCAATCCACATATACAGGCACAGAGACAATTTCAACCGAGAAGATGGATTCTGGGCTTAGCAATCATTGGAAGGATTTGATAAACCACTTCTGGGTCTTAATTGATTGTTCACGCATACGGCTACCATGAGAGATTCGTTCACGAGGCTATCCACATATACAAGCACAGAGACAACTTCAACCGAGAAGATGGATTCTGGGCTTAGCAATCATTGGAAGGATTTGATAAACCATTTCTGGGTCTTACAGAGACAACTTCAACCGAGAAGATGGATTCTGGGCTTAGCAATCATTGGAAGGATTTGATAAACCATTTCTGGGTCTTAATTGATTGTTCACGCTTACGGCTACCATGAGCGATTCGTTCACGAGGCTATCCACATATACAAGCACAGAGACAACTTCAACCGAGAAGATGGATTCTGGGCTGAGCAATCATTGGAAGGATTTGATCAACCATTTCGGGTCTTAATTGATTGTTCACGCTTACGGTGGCTTTCAGACAGCATACATTAATTTTTCGTCTCCTACCCTCCTCTTTTCAGAGCATAGATGGACTCGTCCTTCTAAACAAACTGCCAAATCGCTGCCCGTGACGCTAACGGCTTTTATAAATAAGCACAAACACCGTTTAAAACTAAATAAATAAATGCAAACCGTCACTTCTTTCAAATGTTTTTTGCCGTTGTTTTTTCACACCTGATGATGACCGTTTGTGTTATGGTCGAAACGTGAGAATTTTTATTGTTTTATATATATTATATTATTTTATTGTTTCCCCTTCTACGTGGTGGTGACTTTACCGATAGAACCAAGAATAATAATTTTATTGTTTTACAATAATTTTATCGTTTTATATTTTTAAATTATCTTATCGTTTCCCTATCTACGTGGTGGTGACTTTACCGAAAGAACCAAGAATAATAATTTTATTGTTTTACAATAATTTTATCGTTTTATATTTGTATAATTTTATTGTTCCCCTTCAACGTGGTGGTGACTTTACCAAAAGAGCTAAGAATACGTTTTTTTCAATTCTTCGTGTTTTAATTCTAGATTTACAGCTTTCGTGACTGCTAGGATCCATACTCTTTGGTTCTATTGGGTAAAGTCACCACGTAGGTGAAAATAAAATAACAAAAAATCACGACGTTTCAGCCACAACACAAGCGGCCTTCATCAGGTGAAGGGGGGGGGGGGGGGATGAAGGCCGCTTGTGTTGTGGCCGAAAAGTCGTGATTTTTTCTTATTTTATTTTCACCTACGTGGTGACTTTACCCAATAGAACCAAAGAGTATGTTCGTGTTTTGAGTTTTGTTTGTGTGTTTGTTCGCTTGTTCCCCGCGGTTGCACTCCGATTCAAGAGCCGGATGGCTCGCGGGGGGGTGGGTGGGGAGGGAGGGAGGGAGGGAGGGAGGGGTGGGGGCCTCGATACCCAGAATGCGGAAGCCGATAAAAGCAAAACGGATATCGGCGACCCGCCGCTCACCCTCCGCCCTTCGCGACGATGATCCTCATGAGCAGGGCGTCGTTGATGAGGGCGGCCAGCTCGGGCGAGGAGCCGCGGGGGCAGGCCAGGCCGCCCTCCAGCGTCGACGGCGGAGTCTGCTGCTGCTGGTGGTGCTGTTGGCGCTGCTGCTGGTGCTGGTGCTGGTGGACGCCGCCGCCCGCATCCCTCCCGCCCGGCGCTACGAAACCCGGGCAAGAAGCAGGCGACGCAGGCTGCTGCTGCTGCTGGGCCGCATTGGACAGAGAGGCCTGAGAAGGCTGCTTCTGCTGCTTCTGCTTCTGCTGCTGCTGCTGCTTCTTCTGCTTCTTCTGCTGCTGCTGGTGGTGGTGGTGCTGGGCCGGGTTCGGGATCCCCCCCGGCGAGGCCGGGGCCGGGGCCGTCGCCACGGGGCCTGACGTGGGCCCGAGGAGGTTGAGGAAGTAGGTGACGGGCCGTGGAGGCGAGAAGACATCAAGGAACGAGCGGCCGCCCTCGCAGAACGAGATGGCCTGGCGGACGCCCAGGCCCCAGGACAGCTCCTTGGACTCGGCGTCGGTGAACTCGGTCTGCTGCTGCTGCTGCTTCTTCCCCTCCTCCTCCTCCTCCTCCTCCTCCTCGGTCTCCTTATCCTCCTCCTCCTCCTCCTCCTTGTTCTTCCCCTCCTCCGTCTCGCCCTCCTCCTGCTCCTCCTCGTCGCCCTCCTCGCCCTCTTCCGACGCTACCTCGAGGCCTTCCTCAGGCTGCGAGTCTCCGTTGGCTGCGGCTGCTGATGCTGCTGCTGATGCGGCGGCGGCGTTGTTGGAGGTGGAGGGGTCGGCCGGGGCCGTGCGTACCAACCACAACGGGCTGAGGCACAGCAGGAGGTCGCCTACGTGTGGCGTGTGAGGGTAGAGAGACGGGGGGGCGAGCGAGCGAGGGAGCGAGGGAGGGAGGGAGGGAGGGGAGAGTTACGTTGAGCAGACGTTTGACGTTGAACGGACGTTGAAACCGACGATGATACCGATGTTCTTATTTTATTGTTTTATATTTTTATTATTTTATTGTTTCGCCTATCTACGTGGCGGTGACTTTACCTAAATAACCAAGAATAATAATTTTATTGTTTTACAATAATTGTATTGTGTTATATTTTTATTATTTTATTGTTTCCCCTTCTACGTGGTGGTGACTTTACCGAAAGAACCAAGAATAATAATTTTATTGTTTTACAATAATTGTATTGTTTTATATTTTTATTATTTTATTGTTTCCCCTTCTACGTGGCGGTGACTTTACCGAAAGAACCAAGAATAATAATTTTATTGTTTTATATTTTTATTATTTTATTGTTTCCCTTCTACGTGGCGGTGACTTTACCGAAAGAACCAAGAATAATAATTGTATTGTTTTATATTTTTATTATTTTATTGTTTCCCTTCTACGTGGTGGTGACTTTACCGAAAGAACCAAGAATAATAATTGTATTGTTTTATATTTTTATTATTTTATTGTTTCCCTTCTACGTGGTGGTGACTTTACCGAAAGAACCAAGAATAATAATTTTATTGTTTTATATTTTTATTATTTTATTGTTTCCCTTCTACGTGGTGGTGACTTTACCGAAAGAACCAAGAATAATAATTTTATTGTTTTACAATAATTTTATTGTTTTATATTTTTATTATTTTATTGTTTCCCTTCTACGTGGTGGTGACTTTACCGAAAGAACCAAGAATAATAATTTTATTGTTTTATATTTTTATTATTTTATTGTTTCCCTTCTACGTGGTGGTGACTTTACCGAAAGAACCAAGAATAATAATTTTATTGTTTTACAATAATTTTATTGTTTTATATTTTTATTATTTTATTGTTTCCCTTCTACGTGGTGGTGACTTTACCGAAAGAACCAAGAATAATAATTTTATTGTTTTATATTTTTATTATTTTATTGTTTCCCCTATCTACGTGGCGGTGACTTTACCTAAAAGAACCAAGAATATGAATCCCTGCAGTCACGAACGCTTCAAATCAAAAGATGATACCGACGTTGAGACCGACGTTGAGCGGACGTTGAAACCCCCACCTCACCCCCCACCTCACCCCCCCACCTCACCCCCCACCTTACCCCCCCACCTCACCCCCCACCTCACCCCCCACCCCACCCACCCCCACCACCACCCCCACCCACAATCCTCTCCACCTGGCACTGCGCTCACGCGCTCCAGGATTAGAAATGGGCGGATGCCGTCCGGGCCTCGCGCGAGGCCTCTCGCGGTCTCGCGTTACCGGGCGGGGCTCCGGTGACCGCCGATTTCTATTCTCAGAAGTCATTATAAGGGGGGGGGGGTGAGGGGGGTGAGGGGGGGGGTGAGGTGGGGGGTGAGGGGGGGTGAGAGGTAGGGGTGAGGGGGGGTGAGTGACATTAGCCCCCACCCCCTTCTCTCTCCCCCACCCCCCCACACACACACATCTATTTATTTATTTATTTTCTTGAATTTTCCGCTTGGGTGTTAATGCGTGGGGGGGTGAGGTGGGGGTGAGGTGGGGGTGAGGTGGGGGTGAGGTGGGGGTGAGGTGGGGGTGAGGTGGGGGTGAGGGGGGGTGAGGTGGGGGTGAGGTGGGGGGTGTGAGGGGGGGTGAGGTGGGGATGAGGTGAGGGGGGTGAGGTGGGGGTGAGAGGGGGTGAGGGGGGGGTGAGGTGGGGTGAGGGGGGGTGAGGTGGGGGGGGTGAGGGGGGGGTGAGGGGGGGGGTGAGGGGGGGGTGAGGGGGGTGAGGTGGGGGTGAGGGGGGGTGAGGGGGGGGGGTGAGGTGGGGGTGAGGGGGGGGGTGAGGTGGGGGTGAGGGGGGGTGAGTGACATTAGCCCCCACCCCCTTCTCTCTCCCCCCCACACACACGCATTTATTTATTTTGTTGAATTTTCCGCGTGGGGGGGTGTGAGGTGGGGGGGGTGAGGTTAGGTGGGGGGGTGAGGTGGGGGGGTGAGCGGGGGTGAGAGGGGGGTGAGAGGGGGGGTGAGGGGGGTGAGAGGGGGGGTGAGGGGGGGTGAGAGGTGGGGGTGAGGGGGGTGGGTGACATTAGCCCCCACCCCCTCTCTCGACCCCCCACACACAGATATTTATTTATTTATTTTCTTGAATTTTCCGCTTGGGTGTTAATGCGTGGGGGGGGGGGGTGAGGTGGGGGGGTGAGGTGGGGGGGGTGAGGTGGGGGGGTGAGGTGGAGGGGTGAGGTGGGGGGGGGGGGGTGAGGTGGGGGGGTGAGGTGGGGGGGGGTGAGGTTAGGTGAGGTGGGGGGGTAAGGTGGGGGGGGTGAGGTGGGGGGGGCGAGGTGGGGGAGGTGAGGTGAGGGGGTGAGGTGGGGGGGTGAGGTGGGTGGCACATACACACCACACACACATACACTGTACACACACACCACACACACACACCACACACACACCACACACACACACACACCACACACACACACCACACACACACCACACACACACACCACACACACACACACACCACACACACACACCACACACACACACTACACACACACTACACACACACACTATACACTACACAGACACACACACCACACACCACACACACACACTACACACACCACACACACTACACACACACACCACACACACCACACACACACACTACACACACCACATACACCACACACACACCACACACACACCACACACACCACACACACACACACCACACACACCACACACACACACTACACACACCACATACACCACACACACACACACCACACACACACCACACACACTACACACCACACACACACTACACACACACACGCACACACACCACACACACACCACACACACACCACACACACACACACACCACACACACACTATACACTACACACACACTATACACTACACACACACACCACACACACCACACACACACACACCACACACATACACACACCACACACACCACACACACACCACACATACACCACACACACACCACACACGCACACACATCACACACGCACACACATCACACACTACACACACACACCACACACACACACACTACACACACCACACACACACTACACACGCACACACACACCACACACACACCACACACGCACACACACACCACACACACACCACACACACACCACACACACTATACACTACACACACACACTACACATACACACATACACACACACTACACACACCACACACACTGACACTCACACACACACCACACACACTATACACTACACACACACCACACACACACACTATCACACACCACACACACACACTACACACACCACACACACACTACACACGCACACCACACACACACCACACACCACACACACACTACACACGCACACACACACCACACACACACCACACACACACCACACACACACCACACACACTATACACTACACACACACACCACACATACACACACACCACACACACACACACTACACACACCACACACACACCACACACACACCACACACACACTACACACCACACACACACTACACACACACACGCACACACACCACACACACACCACACACCACACACACACTACACACGCACACACACACCACACACACACCACACACACACCACACACACTATACACTACACACACACACCACACATACACACACACCACACACACACACACTACACACACCACACACACACCACACACACACCACACACACACTACACACCACACACACACTACACACACACACGCACACACACCACACACACACCACACACACACACCACACACACACACGCACACACACAGACACACACACACTACACACACCACACACACACCACACACACCACACACACACATATCTCCAGCGTCACGATCAACTCTCGATTTGCCCGCTACACCCGCCACTTCTGCTGCGCTGCGACATTGTACCTCTGAATCTTTTCGTCCCATTACATCGCCCGGCAGCTCTTTGCAAGCCTCATTCCAACAACAACAACAACAAGAACAACAAAAATAAATATATTTATTTATGTTTAAACTTTACCGATCAGCGAGATGTCGCTGTCCGTCGAAGGCTTGCGGAAAAAAATTTCCCGTGCCGGACTGTTAATTATACTTCCCTTAGCTCTTCGGGTAAAGGTCACCACCACGTTGAAGGGGTAAGCAATACCATAGATATTAAAACAATATATATATATTTTTTTGATTTAAAGCTTTCGTCACTGCAGTAATTCATATTCTTAGTTTTTTCGGTAAAGTCACCACCACGTTGAAGGGGAAACAACAAAATAATATAAAATATATATAAAACAATAAAAAAATATTCTCACGACGTTTCGACCATAACTCAAACCTGAAGGCGACCGTTTGTGTTATGGTCGAAACGTCGTGAGAATTTTTTTATTGTTTTATATATATTATTTTATTTTGTTGTTTCCCGTCAACGTGGTGACTTTACCGAAAAAACTAAGCATATAATATACATTT